TGCCCAAACTAATGTCAGTCAAATGACCATTATAAAGATCATTACTTTTGGATCTTTTAATTGTGCATCAATATAAGCCAACAAAGTATAAAGGAAAAAAAGACATACAAACAACAAATAACAAAAGGAAAAGAAAGGGAAATTTTGTCTTGTGTAAGATAGAGAGAGGAAGGTTGATATTCATCTTTATCACCTTGAACGGATGGTAATTTTAAATTCGATTGAGATAAATTTTTGATATGTTGTTTCGACGATGAGCTCTTTGACTTAAATGGTGTTAATCATCGAAAAACATTCACTTTTAGTTATTTCTTAAAAACTTACTTGGTGAGATCTAGTCATTTTTTTTATTGTTATTGTTGGATTTTATCTTTGTGATGATGACTTTGATGATTTGATTTTGCTTGTATCTATTTATTTGATTTTAGTTATTATTGATTGGTTTATATATATAAATTGAAACTTATGGTTTGTGATTTTGATTTGGATATGCATGCTCTTTCCTAACAATATGAGATTAGTGTATTTATTCAATGCACCAATTACTATAATATTAACAATTATTTTATCAAAAAAAGAGAACAACAACTTTCGTTTTGCCAAATAAAAATAACAATAATGATAATAACTTCAAAAATTTCCTATACCCTTTACATCCTTACCCTTACAATCCAACACTTGTACATCGCACACACACTTTTATTAATTCTTTTGTTGTCGTGAGAATTTACGTGAATGAGGGATTGGAGAAATATGAAATAGGTATATTTGTTTTATTTTTTTAAGGCTTTGGCGTTCAAAATCTCAGACTAGTTTTAGAGTTTATATATTAACATTATTTACACAGAAAATAAATTCTTTATGTGAGCTACTTTTTTATTGACTATTTTGAAGAGAAGTTGTTAGTTAAATTTTGTACAAGTGAGAATTAAGCGTTTCTTACATTGATAGGATCTAGATTTATTAACCAAATATGGGAAGATTGTAGGATTGAACATAGTTGGGGTTTTAACATAAACATTTTGCGATTTGTTGATAAGTTATTCTAGAAACTTTCATGATGATCGACTTACAATTACTAACTCACCAATAATTAGTATTAAAAAAGAACCGTTTTTTCTAATGTAATTATAATTTTATTGATTGTTAATCTAAAGTTTTTTATTAAAATTTGATCTCAAAGTCAGCTCAGCAATATAAATGTGCACAACACAGGTAATTTCATGAACGCAAACTAGTATACATATAAGTAAAGTTAGCTTCATTGCAATTTTTTAACTCGACCCATATATTGCACAAATTTCAATACAATTTTCTATCCAGCTCCACACTTTAAATTTCTTTATTTTAGCTTTTCTTAATAATTAACTTTGCTTTATTTTTTTATTTACAACTTTTTTTAACTTAATTTGTTTTTAGTGTTGTTTATCATTTTTTTTTTTGAAAAACTTGTTATATGTTTGTTTAGGATTTGATGTTGTGGATTTTATTTGTTTAGAATTTATTGTAAACATAGATCAAATCTTCTTTGGTTAAATATTAAGGAAACAATTCATATATACTTAAATCAATGCATTTGAAGAAATAAAAATCTTAATCTTTCCTTGGTTTCAATATGTGAGCACTATTAGGAAGAAAGAAAGAAAGTGAGAATATGTTAATGACAATTGAAAACAGGTTAAATGGCAAAAATTATCCCTAAATTATTTTTATTATAGAAATTTAAGGTCTATATTACCAACTTAGGCTATTTGGATCTCAATTTATTATCTTTTAAGCAAACATTATTACTCTTTCATTATCTTTAACTATTTAAACGTTGATTATTAACTGAAATATGATTTAATAACAAAATTTACTCCAATTGTTGAGGTTGTGTAAAATAAAATTTATACTATCAATTTAGGCTATTGAACAATTAAAATATTAAATACTTAAAATGATGTTGTTTCAAGCATTTCAGATTTTGTTTAGAATTAAAATTAATTTCAAAAAAATTAAATAATTCAATTCTTTTAACTAGATGGATCTGTTGCACAACATTAATTATCTAATAACAAAAATAAAATTCATAAACAAAAAAAATCATTTAAGCTAAATTAAAGCTAATTATTAATAATTATTTTTTAATTTTTTAAAAAAATTAATATTCAAATTTTTTTACTAGAAGGATCGATTATACATCACTAATTATTTAACAACAAAAGTAAAATATATATAAACAATAAAATCATCCAAGTTTATTTAAAACTAAATATTATTAAAAAATAAAATTAATTTTAATTTAAAAAAAGACCGGTCAAACAGTTAAAGATAACATAAGAAGAATAAGCTTTAAATTACCGTAATTCAATAATTTGGAAAAAAAATAAAAAATAAAAGGTATCAAATGATTATTGTTCTTCTTCGTATTCGAAAAAGGCAAAACAAGTGTTGTTTTGAACGCGCCAGAGACAGAGAGTGGGGAAAGCACTTGCTCCACGGCAACTGGTTGTGAGATTTTAGAGTCGGTCCACGCTTTTGATTAGGACAGGCATCGGTAATAACGTAGCGCCTACTCAACCATGGCTCCACCCCCTATCTCTGCTCTTCATGGACTTTCTTGCCACTGTCAGAATCCATCATAGCCGTCGATTAAGTTTTATCTTTCATCTCGGACGTTTATTAAATTCTAGTCATGTCATTGGGTCGCTCATTCCGTCCACCTTCCTTTTCCAAATTTTCTTGTGCCCTTTTCTTGAAAACCAATTCTTTCTGTGAATTACTCAAAATCATAACAAGAGCTGATTCATGTCTCGTTCTTACACATATGTTTTATTTTACTGGACACTGATATTGTTTTAATTGTTTCTTTTTTGGTTTTTTGCATTTTTGCCATTTAATTGATCATAGCAATATAAACAGAAAACTTACGAGTGAAGCTAAATCAAATTAGATTTGTTGAAAAAGACGTGATTAAAACTTTGCACTCCTCTTTACTCAAATTTTACAATCTCAACAAAGCAATATGGGAAAATTAAAATTATTGTCCAATAAGAGAAATCAGGATTGCAAAACTTACTTTTTAGATGATTATAATTCATTAATTAGCATCAATAATTTTTTCATCTCTATAAGCCTGGAACGGGTTCAATAATGAAGGAAAATGGAAGAACAAATACGTACGCAGAAGAATACTGGAATATATCACCAAAGCCGAAAATCAAGTCAATTTTTTTTTTCTGATGACCTCAAAGGGTTAACGTTGAATTCTGATGGTCAATGAAATTGCACATTAAGATGGGACCCTTTGATCACGTCTAAATTAGTGTATTTTACTTATTCGAAGGGCAATGCTTGTTCTTTGATAAATTAACTATGGATGAATGAAGAAGAACAACTCAATTCTTACTAATGCTGAAGGAATTAACTGCTTCTGTCATGGTCCAAAAAAGGAGTAGATCTGATTCACCGGCATATGCTTGGCTGCCAAGTTTTTTCCAAGAATGATGATGCACGAAAGAGGAGCTCTGTGGTGAACCAGGTCCTTTATCCATGTTAAGGAATTTTTGGCATCAATGTCAGAATAACAATACACGATACAGGGATGACCGAAACCCACGCAGATTATCTTTTCGGCTGAAGATCTTTGACCAAATGCATGAAGAGGACACAATGAGCATCGCATGAAGTTTGAAAAAAGGGTATTTCTCTTCCCATTTTTTCTGATGATCAACGGGCCCATGAAATATTGGCAGTGGATACTCAGATCAGGCCCGTGAAGATGGAATTCTGAAATTCTGATTTGTGGAAAAAATCGAAACATCTATGGCTTAAAAATGTCTTTCATGCGAAATTTTTGAAGACCAGTTCATCTCTCATGCTTGAGACGGTTCAAACATGCATGGCCTCAAATCGTTGAGGGTAAAATACAATAGTTTCAAATAGAGATATGGATGACGATAAAAAGAGGAAAAGAAAGAGAAACTTTTTTGGAAATACCATTGGACTTAAAAAATTTCGTTTAATGCTTTCCTACCTATCAAAATCCTTCTCATGTATACTGAAATGAATCAAATCATCTATCGTTTATTCGGATTTGCTCAGATGTCTGGTGTAAAGTGTGATCAGTTCACTCTATGTAGCTGAAAGCTTGTACAGCTCTTGATGTTTGCGATGGATGGGGCTTGTATTGGAGTTGATTCTTTTTTGTTTGTTCAACTCCTTGATGGGTTCATGCTTTTGTAATAGCTTATTACTCTGCTTTGGCAGATTTTTGTAGTCCTTCGGTTTGATTAATGAATGTTTTTTTTGGTCCTTGTAAAAATCAAATGGAATCCATTTCGAACATGGACAAGAGGCGCTAAGCCTTGAAACCTTATCCTTCTCATGTGCGGAATCAAGTTCTATAAAAGCCTCATGAGCCAAAAAAAGAGTAAATTATAAATTATTTTCCTTTATTTTGAAAAATGAATTAATTATTTTTTTATTATAAAAAATAATTATTTAATTTGTGAGATCTATCCAATTAAAATTTAATATTTAAAATACTCTTTGACATATATATATTCATCAATGAAAATATGAGTAGTGAAGATTAATAAAATGAGAAGTAGATATTTGAAGAGAAAAGATTTGAAGATTTTTTTTTTTTTTTTTTTTTTAAGAGAGAGAGAAGAGATATGCATGAACAAATAATAATAATAATACATGAAAGAAAAAATAATTTGAAAACAACAAATACTGTAGTAAGAACATTTCATTGCTACTCTAACGAAAAATTGACAAAAATGACTAAGTTATTAACATAATTAAAACGCAAAATATTAAATAATTAGTTTTCAAAGAAAGAGAGATTAATTAATTAATTTCTCAGAACCTGAGGGACTAATTTATAATTCACTCCATAAAGAATACATTGCAGTTTTTTTTTGACGAGTTCTCTCTTCCTTCTTGCTGTTTCCACTTTGGTGACTTTGATTTTCTTTCTTTCTATGATTCACAAGATGGCAAAATTAGCAATGAAAGCTAGCGCTTTTCAGGTTTTGAAAAACAACAATCATATTCATGGTGGAGGATCTGGAGATGCACACTTTGTCTGCCAAGAAAAACAGACATTTGGAATAGCCGATGCTGCTGGTGATTCTGCTAAAGGCAGCATATACGATCAAGAATTGATGTGCAACTGTTCCATTGCGCTTCCTGGTCAGTCTCAAGGGGCTGTTGATCCAAAAAGAGTCCTCAAAATAGCCTATGAAATTACCAAGCCTAAAGGACCTTGTACGACTTGCCCTATTAATAGTAGAGGCAACAGGTTGCATTGCCTTGCTAGTATTAGAGGTAACAAGTTGCATTATGTCAGCATAGGAGAGTCGATTGATGTTGTTTAGAGGCCATGAAATCATACACAAGTCTCCTGTTCAAAACGCGATTTCTAAGAGGCATATCAACTGGGGACAAAAAGCTACCATCCAAACTTTGCTAATCGGGACAAAATCCAGATACAGCCAGGAGATGTCGTAGTTGTTGGTTGGAACTGATGGACTGCTTGACAGTGTTTATGCTTCTGAGATTGCAGAAATTCTCAGTTAAAAAACGAGGAAAATCAACTGAAGATTTGGCTCGTGCCACTGCAGAGTTAGCATAAAGCCATTCCCTTGATGGTAAGTATTATTCTCCCATTGCAAGACCTGCTGCTTTGGCTTAAGAATCTCACACTGGAGGAAGATGTGATGATATTACAGTAGTTGGTGGAATGATCTACTCGATGTAATAGTGCTTATAGTACACTTGTTTCTCTAATCTGAAATTTAAATTCATTGGAATAGCGATGGGCTGGTGGAACCTTTTTGCATCAGATACTCCTTTTTTCCCATTGTTTATGTCAGATTCTTTGAACCATCAGAATTTCTTTAACAACCAATCCAACTATAAATAGAATTTCTTACTTACCATTCAGTTACTACTTTTATCCAGAGTAAGAACATTCTTACCCTTGATCAACAAAGCTAGGATCACTTTTATGATCCTTAAATCAGCCAAATCAACTCGTGAAATAGAGAATACTTTTTGATGCATAGAAAGGTGAAGGAGCCATAAACCAGTTAATTAACCAGCCTACGCAAGTGCAAGTTAAGTGAAACATCTAGCACTAAATACTATCTGATTTTCAGCAAGCAAAAACCTTAGGAGAAGAGGAGAATCAATATAAGTGAGGGCCACACAAATGACACCCGAAACAGACACATTTTTTATTTAAAAAAAGCACAATAGAGAGGATGAGATGGCTTCCAATAGAAAAGCACCATAAGACTCCAAAAACAACACAAACACACAAGCACAAAAGAAAAAGAAGTAACATATGACTAAACAGGACTCTATAATTACTTAAGTTGCGTGAAAATCATCAAAAGAAATTTTTTTAATGAACTGAACCACCACGCCAAACAGCCATTGCGTTTAAATTGCACCAAAATAGTTCACATGCTACAACGACGGCCATAATGAGAAAATAAATCTCCGCTGAACCAAGTTTTCATATTCCAAATGGCAGAATGTTATAAATTATGAAGCTTTCATGAATGAAAACGTTCCATTCCAGATACAAATAAATGTGACACATATTGGCATGCTAAAGTCTTTAACGTCTAATAAATAAATATCTGTCTACAATATACAGGTTCAACATAGCATCTCTTATAAATGCCAACATTGAACAAACATAACAGGGCATAGCAAGCAAATGCTGGAGTTACTTACAATATGTGCAAATTCAAGAATACCAAATGCGATTCAGATATCGCAATGTCCAAGAGAAGTCCTGCTCGATAGGTACTTAGAAGCACAAGCATAGGGCCTCAACTGAAACATAACAACGCAAAATACAAGAAAAATACTTTACCGAAACCCATGTGCATGCTGTGATTTCACCTTAATATTTTCACAGGCTACTCTCAGAACTTCTGACTATCATCAAGTTTTCTGCAAATTCCATCTTCTCCATTTCACATTGCTCAGCCACCCAAAATTGATCAAAGGCAGCCCAGATTGTAACTTCACAAGGTGTCTTCTGTATGGTATCAGTATGTTCTTCAAACCTACAATATGTTAAGACAAAAATAAATAAAAATTAGCAAACGCTTAACAGCACCAAGAAGCACATACTCTACCTTTGCCACCAAATAAAAAAAATAAAAAAATGGTAATGTCATTTCTTTCTTTCCATAACCAAGTAATGCAAACACAGATTTCATGCCAGGAATACCTGTGGTGCACATCGTCTTATAAACATGGGCTACGTGAGCATCTCCTCTAGTAGCCATATGCGGCCTCTCCAAGCACTCAAGAAACGTCAAGTCAGCCTTTAACAGTTCAGCTTGATCATGAGAGTCATAACCAATATCATGGCAGTAACAACAATAATCCAACCAATCAATCGGCCGCTTGTCCCAAATAAGAGAACCCCCATCTTTGCCACTCGACCAATTCGGCCCACAATAATGCCCATACCGTGGAAACAACTGAGAAAGAAAGGCCCTTGCTCCAGTATGCCATGGAACCTTAGAAACATACGGTCTAAACCGCAGAGGATTACCCCTACCACCACCATTGTCAACAACCCCACGAGACTGGGCATGCCTTTTCAACTTCTTGTTTATGGTATTTGGAGCTCTAATTTTATCTTTCACATTGATAGCCCATGGAACGATAGATAAAAGGGACCATCCCCAGAACTTGACATCAAAACGTGGCTTTTGCTCTGGTTGTTCTATCATAGAATCCATCGACAAAACTGCAATTGCTGTTTTAGGATTTGTTTTGAAATCCTTATTTGAAGTCATATCAAACCATGGAATATTAACCTTAAACCCCTCTAAGTTCATTGTTGAGAAACACAAGAAATCACCATGTCAGACTATTTAGCCACCACAGAATTGGTTTCTAGTAAACCTGCCAATATATAATTTTAAGTCTTATCAGATCTATCATTTGATTAATTCACCAAGAAAGAAAAAAGAAGTGTCATTACCACATTTCAGACGAAAACTACTATACTTAACCCTGTTTGGTTGCTGAGAAAACTGCTAATATAGAAAAAACACAAGGAGACAGAGGACGAAGTCGTAATTACAAATGTAATTGATATACTCTAATTTAAATAATTTAGTATTTGAACTTCACAGTTTTCTCAACTACCAAACAGAATCTAAAACAATGACACCCAAACACTAAAAGGCAAGCATGCAAGCAAAGATAATTTGCAAGAATCAACAGTTACAAGATGAAATTAAGCAAACTTACTCGATCTTATTCATCGATTATGTATGCTAGTGTAAGAAGTTCTGTTTGGAGAGAGAAGCTTCGCGAGAAACGTTTTTTTTTTTTGCGAGAGGGCGGTACGGTGCGAATTTGCTGTCTTTCTCTGGTTCCGGTCTCTCTCTTTTCTGACAGGGCGGATAACGTACGATTCTACTCGCTTAGTTTATTATCCAGGAATCCAACAGTGTTTATTATTGTGGGATCCACATCGCTTAACGTGGCATCTATTTACTGGATTACTGGGACATACTTTGCAATCTTTTTTAAACTTGTCCTCTCTCTTCTCAACGACTTGTCGCATTTTATTTATCGTGAACTAAATACATTATGAATTGGAAGGCAGATAAGCTTTTGCGATTTTTGTTTTTCTGTCCATTGGAAATTTTGTAGATCTTAAACTACACAACATCCCCTACTGCATAATATCAAACTAAACTGAATTTTTAGAACTTTAGCCTACTTCAAAACAAAAACGAGCATACATGAATACCTATATATGATAAAACTATTCTGTGTTTTTTTATAAATAAGATTTAAAATATCTTCTTTTAAAATAATAAATTAAAAAAATAACCTATTCAGGGGAAAAAAAACTCGCCGTCTATACCTACTTGCATACCAGACAATGGCTTGACACCTTTATTCTCAACGACATGTCGCATTTAATTTATCACGAACTAAGTACATGAATTGGAAGCCACATACAATAAAGTTTCAAACTATCATCAAATCCAGAAGATTCAATTAATTTTATTTGGATATTAGCATATTTGATAAGTTGGAATTGATTTTTTGGGATGATTTGAGCAAATTGAATGCAATAAGATGAAACTAGCAGGTCGCCTGAAATGAAAATGCAAGAAGGCTAGCTCATACTTCAAAACACACTAAATGAAATTGCAAGCATTTGATCATTAAGATGCATCCATATTGCCAAACACAACATAATAGGACTTTCTTTGGAAAAAAAAGAAAAAGAAAAAAAAACAAGAGGGTTTCTCCTCCAATACGTCTGTTCAATAAATATCTCCACCTACTATAATATTGACACAACAGGCAACACTCAATTATGTTTACAATATTTTGTGACAAACGAAAGAGCAATGCTACGGCAAAAAGAACACTTGATCATTATAAATTCAATCATAATTGCACTAGAAAAATGCCGGCCAAAAAAGGAAACAGGCAGAGAGAAGAAGAAGAAAATGGAGTGTAAGCAAGGTACATCAGATAACTATATGCAACACAGAAGAATGTACAAGACCACATGTCAATTTGCGGGGCATCATCATCTCTAGTCAGTTCCATGGAGGGGATGATGGTCTGTAAATAAAATCTTGTGAAGAAGTTGTGCCATAGTTCAGATCAAGGTTGTGGAGTTGTTCCATCAGCTGAGAACGCCTTTCCTTGAAGAAATCCAGCCGAGTTGTTAATTCTACCAAAGCTGAAGATGCTGTTGATGGATGTCTTGGATAGTCCATCACCTGTAACAATAACATTGATATCTAAGTGGATTGCTTGTATCGTATTATTGAAAAATTAGGTTCTCTCAACTATGCAAAATTATAGGACCACGTGATGGAACGAGATTTTGATAAAAGTCAACGCAACTGTGTGTTCAGTTTGACTTTAGTTGTCAAAATAATTGCGAGCAAAGAGTTACCTCTACTGCTCTGGAAGTGGAGGGAACAGAATCAACACCGCAAAGCTCATCCATGGACATATTTGTTGATGCCTCGGTACTTTTTGAGTCACTAAGACTCGTTAATTCCATAAATTGCTTTCGAGGAGGCTGCCTGCTGCTGCTTCCAGTTGCTAACCCTGCTCCTTTAATATGCCTCCAATCGGTCCCCAAAGAACCCTCCTGTAGCATAGCAGCCATATTCCATATTTAAGAGCAGAAACCAGTATTATTTGAAACAAAAGGTGAAGCCATGCTGCAAATAAATGACTACAAGACAAAGGATTCTAGAGTTCAAGAGGAATTTATCAAAGAGGCACCACATTATTAAGGAAATACAATTGATACATCACCCAGCTCAAAAGGCTTTCCATCAAATGCACTCTAGTGTCAAGTAATGTCTGACCTGTCACATATCTCCATTTGTTTCCTCTTTATTTTTATTTTCCAATTTTCTAAACCATTTGGCATGTCATGAACATTAGTTTAATCACTTTGTTCTATCTCTCGCTATCTCAAAAGACAGAAAGTTGGATGATTGTTTGGCAGCCAAACAGGCATATCATCCTTCAAATACTGAACATCAGTTAAATAATTGGTCAGTGAAACTGAGAATGGAGGAGAACAAGTATGAGGAAAAAAGTTGGAAACAGGAAAGGCAAGAGCATAGAAGGTTAGGAAAATGAAAGATGAGTTGGAATGATCCACTTATATCCTTTCTCAAGCTCATAATATATGTTTTTTTTCAATTTAAATTTCATAAAAGCCAGCGCTCTATAATACCTCAGTTCTTTGTTTCCTCTCATGATTAACAAAAGCAAGGGTTGAATCAAAATCTTGCTGCAAAAATCTCCTGCAGAAATCAAACACAATACAGGAAATATGATAAGAATTTGATAGCAGTGAAACAGCCTATCTCATCGCAGCTGCTTCCACCAACAACATTTGGTGAAACAATGCATCTCTATTCCTAGATAATGACGGTATGACTGTTCTGTCTAATAATCGTCGTTATCTCAAGGAAAAGTGACATGCATCTAATTTTAATTATCACCTTAAGTGAATAAATTACAAAGATGAAATGACTTTATGGACTCACTGTTGAGGGTTATGATTTTGAACATGCTGATAACGGTCACTTGCATCCGAGAGGGAACCATAGTGATGCTGTCTTTGCTGATTAAGTTGATGGTGAAGCTCTGCAACTTTTTGCTTCAACCTGGCGACATCTGCTTCGGCAAGAGCAATCTCCTCAAGCTCAGCCCTTGTCTTCAAATCATTTAAGTCATCAGAATGAGTGATTCTCCAGATTTGAAAGAAAGAAAAAAAAATGGCAAAAAAACACAGCTCCTAAGGATCTATACACACTTTAGAATCCATGCCACGAGAACTGGAGAACTGTCCAGAAGACATGCTCAAACCAACTTCCAATGCAGCTCTGAGATCTCTTTCAGCTTGCAGCTGCTCTTGCAATCTTGCAACCTGAGTGGTCATTTACTTTCAGTCAACAAAAACAGTGTAGAAAAACAATACTATTATTTTTACTCCACATGCAAACACAGTTACATAGGCTGATTAAGTAAGCACACAGAGACAAAAGAAGCCCATAAAAGAATTCAAGGGCTTGAGAGAAGATGATCGACTTGCAGTTCTGGAACACTCGAAACATGCAATAAGGTGTACCATCAACATCAATCTGGTACTGGAGATAGCAAGCACAGAACGATTTCATTACTCTGTCAAAATTGCACAGATATTGAATCAATAGGAGTGTTCTTCCTTATTTGTTACGTTCTTGTATGTATGGTAGAAGCAGCTGGAGTTAAATTGTGTGTATTTCCACACATCTACTAAAGTAAAAATAGTACATTCAAAGTAAGCATCAAAATTTCTAACATCAATTTAACATTCAACATGAAAAACACCAAACAGATAAAAACTAGCGAAACATTGGAAAGAGAAAGCAGCGTGTGAGGAGCTAAAAATAATTACATCTTGTTCAAGTGCCAAGCGACGCTCATGCAAAGCTTGCTTTCTCCTCTCTAAGCTAGCTTGTAAAATTGCATTTCCACGAGCCTGAACAGACAGAATAACCAATCCTATCAGGAAAACATGCCAACATACCATAATTGAACAGAAAGCAGATTAAAGAAAGCATCTAGACCTCCTTTGCAATTCTGTGCCTCAAGTCATTCTTTGTGATCTCAAGCCTCTGAATAGCAAGCCTAAAAGCAATACAACTATATGCAGTTAAATAGAATAGCACCAAATATGGATCAAATTAAACATGGAAAGGTTATTTAGTGACAGTTGAGCTCAAAGAAAGACTCGGAAGCTAATGCAGAACCTATTGAACAGTTACTTCTGAACTAAATGATACTGTTAACAGTTCAAGTGTTCTCAGGTTTTGAGGCAAGGAAATAGAAGGAAAGCAAGAGCTGCAATTCAGAATAATTTTGCTAACTTTTTAAAAGAGAAACGGAGACAAATAATGAAAATAAAATCATAATTAGCAAAAACAAAATCCAATGCATATCGCTTCTGGTAAGCATAAATTCTTTACTAAGATACAACCATAAAATTTGTGATCCACAATTCTCTACTCAGATCTAAACAAATGAGATATGTTTTTCCAAATTTATTTTTGAAAAAGAAAAAAGACAATATGATATGAAATGCCAAGTTAGAAAATCACGTCACATGAGAACTTTCAAGGAGAAAAGAGGAAAATAAAAAATCATAATCGAAATGAGAGAAACAGAATAGGCCTGAGAAACACATTAGGCCCAAGTGGATTTTATACCAATAACTAATACCAATGATGTACTTATTACTTAGAACACTACATGTTGCTTTCAAAGCATTGGAGTGCACAGTATCAAGGCAGATACATCAATTTAAACTTGGGTAGCAGCATGGGCTAAAGAACGATATGCATGAATATGGATTTTCAGGCTTAAAATGTCAAAGAACATATATTAATGATGTCAAAGGCAATGCATAGAATGAGTGTCTTACTCCTCTTCTCCAGAAGAATCCACTGATTCCATTGATGGTGTCTTTCTGGCCTGCATAAAGATCAATACTGTTATTAGGCTTCTAATTACAATCTAGGAATGTAAACTGCAGGAACTCAACTGATACAAGATCTAGCTTTCTTCCTTCCCAAGAGAGAAAACCTATGCCACCCCAACCCCCCACTGCTATAAATATAAGGTGCAGGAACAGTTTTGGATTTTGGGAAGGGGGATGACCAATTTGAGGCAATTACAACACTTGAGACATACATCCTTCAAGGCATCTCATACTTTCCTTAGAAATTATGATCCACATGACCATTCTATGACTATAACCATATCAAATTTACAGCATAATAATATGGCAACAGTCATATTGTGTAAGCCTTTGATGTTTGTCCCTGCTTTGCATTCATTTGCCCGTTGAGTTGAACTTGCAGTGCTTGATCCCTTGGAAGAAATATAATCAGTTCCTTTATTAAACTTAAAAGTAATTAAGAAGCATTGCTCTAAAAATCTTTCATCTACCTAACACAAAGGGTGAGGATTTTAGATAAACACTCTCAATGCAAATTTGTCAAGAAATTCTCTCAAATTGGAAAGATAAAAAAAAAGTATCATTAACTGCAAGTGATTTCAGGTCTAGGTAGATAATACATGACAGAAAAATATGAAGGGATGATTGCTTACACTACTTCTTCCCCAGAATGTTGATCGCTTCCCATTGAGATTGGAGGCTGCAACTTTACCCACTGATTTCTCAGCAGATGATTCCACTCCAGATATGGGTATGGGAGACACAGGATCCACTGAGGATAGAATTTCACCCATTGATCGGTAAGATTCACCAGTCGGTAACACAACTGAAACATCCATCTCACTTGTTGAATTTTCATTTCCTTTCTTTGGTTTACTTTGTTGTTCTATGAATTGACCTTTGGAATCTATTGTTTGTACAGGATCAACAGACATATTTGAACTCTCAGCTGGACCATTATTGGTTCTTGGTGATCCAACATCTGAATCATCACCGCCAAAAGCCTGCAAGAGTACATGTTGAATATATACATTGGTCAAGATAACAATAGCTCAACACCGACAAGTATTTGAACAAAGTGGAACCAAGTAAAAACTGTACAGGATGCCAATATGAAATTTAAACCATTTCTCTGTTTAACCTCACGGTTAGCATAACAAAGGAAATTTAAGACAAGTCACCAGATGGTTTGTGTGGCCCCTAGCAGCAGTAAGCAGAAAGGAAAGTCGTTGATGACCATAAACCAATAAATTAATAGGAGATTTTTATTCACACACTTTATAGGCATAAGGCAGATGCCGAATGCATAAATCCCAAATATTCATGCAAATGCAACTGTCCCACTGCAATAAAACCAACTCAAATTCAAGAACCTTCCTGCACAACAACTTGCCACTACATTATTATCATCAGAATGATTGAGACACTATTTAAAAGAAAGGTGGAATCGTTAAAAGTTTCTCCAACCAACCTTCCACAAATTGCCCAATTATTTGACTCGTCAACAAAAAGCTTCAAAACAAAAACTAAGAGAACCAATTAGGAGAGACAAGGACCATTTAAATCCCAAAAATCACATTTGCGCATCCTTAACCACCAACCCTTTGAAGTGCTTATTGTCTAACGTGCGTTGATGCCATTCAAACAAATATACTGCAATGACATGGCAAACAATCATGGCGATGAAATTTAGGACATTAGCACTCATCACTCCCCACATTAAATCCTAATAAAAACACTATGCCAGTATTTGTAAATGCCAATATGTATAACATAACCAGAAGCAGAGAAAAGACAAGAAGTTATCTTCGCTAGGAAGCACAGAAAAATCAAACCCATTAACAAACAGGAAACTGATTATAACATCCCAGCAAGTGAAGGTGCAGGACATTTCATTTTCCCGAAGACATGATCATTCTAATATCCAATTCAACATGAAGGAAAGGAAGAAAAAAAGGTCAAAGACATGCAAGTGTATATAAGAGAACCTTATAATCGTAGAGATCACTGCCAGCAGAACCGCTGCTTTCACTTAATTTTCCACTGAGTACACGTTCAGGGTCATCATCTGTATCTTGATCAACTTCATTTTCTGCATCGTGATAACCATTATCTTTCATGTCCATATTTTCATCATCAGTTGAATCATCAGTACCACTGTTTTCTATCCGGGAATCAGCTGAAATAGAGCACCTGTGTAGATTTTCATCCTGAAACAACATGCAATTGCTAAGCATCATTCTTCAAACAAGGATCGACAATTGTCAATAATCCTCATTCAAAAATAATCACACAAGTTTATCCATTTACACCACTTTCTAAAAGGATCATTAAAGGTTAAAAAATGTACTAATAGAAACATAGAGGAGAAGAAAGATTGTTGAACAGTGGTGGCTTGAAACTGCAATAGACTAAAAGGCATACTTTTTTTCTAACTTGATCCATTTTTCAAACAATCTAACTTGACAAAGCATGATTGCGCACGTAAAGAAAATTTAGCAACATTTTCAGTTTCTAACAGCAGCACACATTGTACAAAACCCACAAAAGTGATAATACCAGAACTCAATAATCAGAGAATGGATAGAGAATATCTTACATCAAAAATATTTTCATACTCCTCCAGAAGTGTTGCAATGATGGCTTGAGCATTATTAGCAGCATTTGCAGCAGCAAGCAGCTGAGCAGAATTATCACCATTAACATCAAAGTCATCCTCCAACTCACATTCACCAGCTAATAGAGGACGCAGGAGCAAGGGTGCCATGCAAGCAGCAACAGCAGATTGATTCATTCGATTTTCTTGAGCATGGGAAGAGATTGTGTGCATCATCTTCAGAATTCTGCAATAATGGCCAGCTTAACAACTAGATTTTTATTTTTTAATCAATGTTTAACTACTATATTCAAGCAAATATAAAATGGATGTGCAAAATTCTGATGAGAACCTAACAATCTTCAGTCACAAAATAAGTACATTTGAAGTGCATTTGCAAACATGAAAGATTACCTCTGTAATAAGCGCCGATTTGGTTCCGGAAATGTCTCCACTATTGCAGAACGCATTGCATTAATCCGAGCTTCCTTCCGATCAATTTCTTGTAAAATACAACAGCAAACAAACAATATCAGTATCTAACGATGCTGATAAAAAAGTTCTAGTCCATTAATAAGATAAGAAGATACTTCTATACTCCACTTGAACACATAGAAAAGAGCTTCTGAGAAAAGATCTAATGGGCTTTTACTTTTCCATTATGAAGACTTAATTATTCAGACACTTGACTAGTTGATTTATGTTTATGCACTCAATGATGATTTAATTTCGGGTGCAGGAATAAATGGAAGGTTTTAGCTTGATCAGTAATTTTTTTAGCTCGTCTTTGATAATATGAAAGTTAGTACTCAGCATCCTTTAATTACCCAACACTTAAAGGAATTCTATAATATTTAGCATTTTGTGCATGCATTCAACAAGAACCAATTTAACCCATTTCTTCAGATTATACAGATAAAACATTACATTATAATCAAATCTGAGCTATCTATATGGGATTAAAAGGAAAACAAAAGCTCCAATTTCATGAATGATGGATATGAAAGCTTTTCTATCATTTGAAATGAAGTTTGATTTAGAATATCAATCAGAATGGAAGGTTGAAATGGTTCCCTAAAATTATTCAACAAATAACACTAAGCAATAATGCATTACTTTCTTGTGATATGTTCATAAAATATAAAATAAGATAGGAAGGGAGATACAGATCTGAACTTACTGTAAGCCTCCAGCAATGCAGTGCAGCAAGATGCAGGAACTGGAGAGGAGGGCAGTTCCCTTAGAACATGCTGCATTTAAAAAATGTGGGATGAATATGGAACAAAGTGTATAATCTAAAGGCACAAGTTATATAATGCAAAGCCCGAAAGTACCTTCACACAATCACCAACAACATGAGCATCCTCATCTGGTTCAAATTCAGTCTTGCCTAGAAATAACCAAGAAAAATTGAACAGAAGTCTCAGTTTAGAAGGTTTGCAAGCATTTTAAAAACAAGGGAAAAAATATTAGGTTAAGATGGAATCTTCCAGTTCATCAAAAGCATTCATGAGAATGTTAACTGAAATGATACCTTGTTCATATTCTTGAACTCTGTGGTCAACTTCCTCAACATCCGCAGCCTGACGTAAGATTCCTTCAACTTTAGTTCCTGATGGAAAAATAAGCACCATAAGCAAGCATGCATGCACACCATATGAGGGGACATATTCGGCCATAATTTTTCTGTTACGTATATTACACCAAAACAGTGCGTGTAACCCAAGCACACCGCAAGTGCATAAGATACATTGAAAAAGTAAATGACTCAAGAAAGACTACAAGAGGGAAAGAAATAAAAAGTCAAGACCTAAAACTGCTGTCCGGCTATTTTGCACCATTTTTGCACCATTCTGCGTGGAATATTATCATCAGACCACGAATGCAAATGCTAGTCACGATTCGATACTGTAGCCAGTTACATGTGTATTTCTACTGCTGAAATCTTCTTCTTTTTTCTTTTCTTTTTTTCACTAAAATAAAACACCAGTTTTGCTGCCGCATTAAATTACATAACCAGATCCAGGGAATAAACAAGCACATAAATTTTTAAGAAAATATGACAGAGAGGCCACATTTTCCATAGCAAGAAAATTGCAGATTATATAACTAAGAAGCTCAACGCAGTTAGAGATTATAACTTACCAAACTTCTCAAGAAATTGGAGAGCTTTCTCAAGGAATGATGGACCACCATCAATATCTTCAAGGGCAAGTAAAATGGGTCTTCCAACAACCAATGACTTAACAGGACGTTTATCCCTCCCTGAACAAAATACGATTTAGCGAAAAGGAAGCAGAAGAATTAGCATATAACTGGCTGAAGTCAAGATCATTTCCAAAAGAAAAGGAAAAGGGAGAAAGGAAAAAGGTAGGATTTATGGCAGAGAAGAACAAACATTGATGGAAAGACCCTTCAATAGCTTCATTTGTGTCACTTCGGAATATCCCATTGTGTCCCATTACAAGGGCAGCACTTGGTGCTTGTGCAAGGGCATGTTCAAGGGCTGTCTTCCACTCATACAAATCCTCTGATGTCTCAGCCTGAAATTTGGAACAGGAAAACCAAAATGGCCTTACACATCGAGTACACTTGAAAGGTAAGCAAAACTGAAAGGAAAGAGAAAATGGCATGCCTAGAAAAAAGCAAGCTTGAAAAAGAAGAGGGATAAATGAAGCACCTTAAGGGTGAAAGCTCGGCCATCACGTCCATCAGGAAACAGGACAGTTAACAATTTTTTATCTTCTCTAACAACAACACTGAAAATAAGAATAGCAACTATTGTCAATAGTCTTCAGAATACAACTACAAGCAGTATTTAGTGACCAGGCATACCTTCCAGAATTGTTCAAATCAATACCCCCCAAAGTAAGATTTACTTCCCCACCTCTTTGTGGTAGAGCGCTCTGCATAAATATTGAATATGAGCATTATTTTAATTAATTCCTAATCATAAAATTTTTTAAGTTAAGTGGGTTGAGTAGTATAATGAACAAGAGATGACACATGTTAAAGTGCCAATTTTTTTACCAAATAAACTGGATTTTCATTCAATGCTGTAAGCAATGAATCATCATCGCAATTGTATAACCAAATGTAACTAGATCAAACATCATTTTACAACTCAAACAGTCAGCACATTGTGTAAGAATATGAAATAATGAACATCCAATTCATTGAAAAGAAAGGATTTATGGAGAAGAAGAAACAAATACATGTAGACAGCAAACAAAGCATACCAGAGGAATGAAAGTTCCAAGCAAAATTTTCAAAGATACAATTCCTTACAGATGATAACTGAATTCTGCATTTCTTTAAGGGCGACGGGAGGGGGACACGAGGGCTTGTTCAGCTTAGCATATGGGGACATGAAGTTAGACAAGACATGCTACCTTCTTTGCCTATCTTTAAATAGAACTTTCAACACTTTACACATCTTTGAGGTATAACAAAAACAAACACCAAAATATTGAAAATGTTCCATGTCAATATAGGTTTCTGCTCGCACCAATAATTAATTTTTAGGGGGTAATCTACAAGCAACCCTTGTCCATCACAGATATGGACAATCACAAAATGACTATAGAACATATAAAAGTAAAAAAGAACATGGGATGCAATAAATCATACTTACAGGGTCATTTTTGAAGAACACCAAAGAAGTGCGTGTGAGGATAAACCACCGCTTCTTCCATGACTTCCAGCCTATTCCTGCAGAAATTCAACATTAACTTAATTGAATAGCAACAAAAAGGTTTCAATAAGCTCTAATGACCATTCAATGAATTAAAATAAATGTTACTAGTGTACTTCAACCTATATTGATGAAAAGCTGTTGCTAGCAAAAGCCTTTATACAATTGATAATTAAACAAACATCTTTATTGTCGAAAAAAACGTAAAGCTGATGGGAGGAAAAAAGGTAATTGTTCAAGCTGAGAATGCATTGATGAGGAATTAGAGAATTTTTACTTAGCATGGAATTCTACCTAATATGCAATGGCACTCAAACATCCAGTTCTCAAGGTAGATGCAAAGCATCCTGACAATGAATGTTCACAACACCCAATACTCAAGAAATAGGTATAGCACTTCAAATTCATTAATACATATACCTATATACATCATTGAAGAAAATCACTGTAATAAAAACATAGCATTTGCACAGAAGCCAAGTGTAATATAAATATGTACTTACATCAAACAAGGAATAATACAATAAAAAGTTTGAGAGCCTAACCAGGACAGAGAAAAATAAAACACAAATCAACAGAAAGAAATTGTTGCCAACCTTTTGAAGAAATGAAAAGTGGGCCACTCTTGAAAACCTGTGAACATGTCACAAAGAAGATATAAATAACTAAAACCTGTCTAATGCATAGAGACAACTGATAGGAAATAACTAGTATACTTGCCGCACTCCCTGATAAAATCATTAAGTGAACAGCCCGGATATTTTACGAGCTATTAATAAAATGCAGATATGTAACATAATTTTGGTTTGATAAGGCAGTTATTTCCAGAAAAATCACATTTCAAAACACTTAGTCTCTTGAGAGTTGAGATCTTTCAACTCCTGGGTTCACAGTTCGCCAGCTAATTTTAGTGTATCATGTGCAACCACAGTTTGCATAGAAAGCAACTCTAGCCAGACCTTAAGATCATCAAAATTTCATGTAATGTTGACCGATTTATTTGATATATTGCACAAGTTGAGCACTACAATTTGACACAAAGCAAAGATATTAGAGCAAAAGATATCTAACACACAAGAAATCCAATCATGTTCGATTTTCTCACTTTCAAACTTTAAATTGCCAAGTCTCTGCACTGCAGCTATTAAAAGAACTAAATATCCATCCAGCCGATTTAACCCTCAACTGCAATTTCTTATCTAAAATCAAAGAATGATTCATTCTTCAACAAAGCAAATGAAAAAAAAAAAAAACTTCAAGACCCACATTATATCAGGGGTGAAACCCTGTGCCCCGTCCCTCCCACTGCATTGTTAATCATGGGTTCAATTTCTAATGATTGTAACAAATTTAGAAAACGTGAACACCACCTTACAGTTTTGCATCACAAAACTTTTTTCTGCATGTATTACCATTGCAGCATTAAATATCCTAATCTTTATCTCCTCGTCTCCCTTCTACCTCATCATCAGAAAAAGAGACACGTTAAAAAATAAATGCACTTCACAGTTCTAATACCAAAAAAAACCTTTAAACCTCTTTATCCATGCCAAAACAGAAAAACCCAAAATTGGGAAAAAATATGTTTGAATTTCTACAAAAACAAAAGAAAATAAAAAAATGGTTTCGGTCATTGACTAAAACAAACAAAGATCCATGAAAAATTCAAATCAAATTCAACCAAAACAGATTTAAAAAAAAAAAAAAAAAACAAATACGCACCGTATTAGAAGAACCGACTCTTGGCCGCTCGAAAGCTGTTAAAGAAGCAGACGACATTAAAACTGAACTGAAAAAAACCGGAATAATCCTTAAAAATGCTTAACATTTCCAAAAAGAATCTCTTAGCTTCTCCATTGAGTCAACTCGAACCGTAGATCGGCTCTTTATCTTAAACTCGAAAAACAGTTCAAGATCTGACTGATTGCGAAAACTAGTTAGGGTTTTTTAATTTGATAAAAAGGAACAGTAAAGAATAAACAACAACCAGAACTACCAAGCGGCAGGCAATCACTATAGATTTATTAATGTTTTTCCCTCTTTTTTTTTTAATTTATTTATCTAGCTTGGTTTAAATTTTACTTTTGATATTATCGGTTTTAGGTATTGGATTAGGTAGAGACCGGAGGGAGGGGCATAGCGGTGGTTGTGCAGTAATAATTTTGTAATCTGTGAGAGAGAGAAGATAGGCTTTAGGCTTTGCTTTTCACCCACTTCTCTTGCTGGCTAGAGAGAGGGGGTGTGTGTTAGGGAAGGGAGTGGGGTGTGTGTTAGTCAAAATCAGGTCAGGGTCGAATTAAAATCTGCCATGTTTACGACATTTGAACTTGTTTTGAAACCGGTTTTAGCTTGTTTATTTTTTGGCAAGCCGCAAACGGCAGTTATTTTCTTGATTTTTTAAGTTTTTTTTTTTTTTTTTTTTTTTCTCTAAAGTGAAAGAGAAAAGAAGTTCTTTCGCAAAAAAATGCTATTGTTTGCTTTTTCATGGACAAAAATCATGTCATTGTTTTTGTTCCTCTCGTGTTTTTATGCTTAAGTGTCGTTATTACAAGTCAAGGATTATATTTAAAATCACAACAAAAAAATAATACTAAATTAACATTAAATAATTCAAAGAAGTTAATCTCGTGATTAAAGACGTGATATGGATAATTTATATTTACATGCATTAAAGAGACATACATAATTTTAGAACATGAAAACTGATTTAAGAATACATTTTTCTTAAAATAAATAAATAATTTATATGTATCAATGTGAATAGTTTATTTATGAATATATAAAAAATATTAGTGCAATCGCTAAAAACATGAGCTTACTAGAGAATACCTTAAACTTAATAAAGATAAGAGTAAATTATAAATTAGTCTCTTCACTTTTTAGAAACAAATTAATTAGTTTTTTTTAAAATTAATTATTTAGTCTTTTGATTAGAGTTGATAACCTTTAATTTAACATTACTTTATTTTAAAGATATAATATTTTCTCACTATTCTTTTTATATATTTTACTTTTTTTCTATTTCTCAAAATAAATTTAAAAAATAAAAGAATTAGATTAAAAATATTGAGAGGGACTCAATAGTTAATTTTTTAAATAAAAGAGATTAATTAGTTTGTTTCTCAAAATTAGAAGCATTATTGTATAATTAATTCTTATAAACTGTAACAGTTAATGTCCATAACCATTTAAGGTTTTTTGCACATGGTATAATTTAGCACTATTTCAATAATATTTTTTTTTTAGTGGAGCTCAAGTTTCAAATATCATTTGAAAGCAATGTGATTGGGAGTTTAATTTTAGAATCCAAAAATCTTATTTGTTTAGTATGAGAAAGAGTTTATTTTATAAACTTTGAGATCATTTAGTATGCAATAAATGACCTTATCGTTATTTTGAAAAAAAAAAAAAAAAAAAACAAGGGCATAGGATTTATTTATTTATTTTCGTTTCCAAGAATCAGTACTGTTGGGTTTTAATCACGCACAACAATAAAATTTTCTCCAAAGAGAAAACCGTACGAAAGATTTTAATATACGAAAGTTCATTTAATTTCTACCAAAATACAATTACTTTTACACCTAATGTTTTGAATAACGTATCAATGTAGAAAAAATCACCACCAAATTAAAAGGCCACATGTGACTTGGCATTTCTTGGCTGGCACGTAGTCCATTTACCCTCCTTGAAAAGAAAAGGAAAAGAAAAGAAAAAAGAAAAAAGAAAAAGAAAGAAAGAAGAAGAAGAAAAACAATGTCCTCTCCCTTAACCTATCAACGGATGGGATTCAAATTATATTATAATAAATATAAATTCAATTTATTCAACAAAACAAATCAAATTAATCTTATGAATTCAAATGAGATTTTAAAAATATGAATCTGAATCCTAATAAATGCACATCGAATTCGAAGTTTCATCAATTATATCACTTAGTTTGTAAAAAAAAATTATATTTACTACATTTAATATATTAATTGAATAAAAATACATTTCAACCATTGTATAATAAAATATATTTAAAGAATATTTCATCTATCAATTTTATTAAAGAATCAAAACGTAGCACAATTAAAAAGCACAAAATCAAATAATCTTAATAAAAATTTTGTTTTGAACTTGGATAGCAAGTACAATAAAAATTTAAAAAATAAATAATAAATAATTTTTTTACTTTTTGTTTGCGTGCCGGCAAAAATAGAATAATGACAAATATAATAATACCAATCTTTGAAAATGTATAAGTCAATTTATAATTTTTTTTCAAAAAATTAAATTAAAAAGATGACAAAAAATTTAGATGTGATTTTTTGAAAATACAATTGTCATTGTAGAAAGATATGCGTTATTTGAACTTTATAATAAATAAATTCTAAATTTTAACCTAGTTTCATATTTATTTATTTTTTTCATATTTAAATTTTAATATTTTAAAAATATTATATTTATTATAAAATATTATTTTTAATTTCGAATTGTATTATTAGTGACACGGATCAAAATAGATTTGGATTTGATACAATAGTCATGTTAACAAATTTGTATCATAATAGAAATTACATTAAAAAAAAAAACTATTTACTAAACATAGTTAATCACGTTAAACTCGGATAAAGATTCGAATTTATTTGCAGTACTACTCTCTTTTTCATCAAAACGAAGAACCTGTCTCTTCTCAGTTCCAAGTCAGTACACAAAACATATTTCACTTCCTCTTCAAATTTATCTACTTCTCGAACAACCATAACTCTCCGTGTGGTTTTACTTGTCGGTGAATGTCACGTACACGCCCTATTCCCACCCGCCACCTCTTTAAGGGACGAATAAAAACAAATTCTCTTCTACTCTGTCTGAATAATCCACTAATTTTTCCTTTGGTAAGAGCGTGATAGACATGATTTTAGTTTTGCGAGTTTGTATGCGCAAATAAATAGATGGTATCATGGTTATCGAATTAAGTAGTAACAGGTCTCGTGTCTGCCTTTACCGTTTTGTGACTTTGTCTATTTCGATCCAAATAAAAACAAGAATATGTGATAGGCTCCTTGTCGTTTCAAGTAGTTTTATTTTAGTGCATGTCACACTCGTCCAGTAAAAAATAGTGGTCCTCCCGTGGCTCCACAGTCTCAATAATCCTGGACCAATTTGGTCTTGGCCTAAAATAAGCATTCTAACGGGGCATTGGATCTTGCTAAAAAAGTTATGATCTTCGTTGGACCACGCCAAAAAGTTTATTGGGTCCATTTAAGGCCTAATAACAAATCAAATTATTGGTCTATGGTGACTCCTATCTGGTCTAAGTTTGGGTAATGGCTTGTCCTGTGCATAATAGTTTTTTATTGATGCTAAAACTATTTGAGTGATAGTTCCCAGGCCTAATCTTGGCTTTGCTCCAAATATAATTATAGGATTTGTTTTTGTTTAAAATTTAATCTGTAAAAAACATAATTAAGTCAAACAAATACGATAAAAATACTAAATAAATCATTCACAAAAATACAATCACAATGATATCAAAATATATATAAAAAAAACTCATTTATCGTAGAGGAAAAACCACGAAATCAGTTATAAAATGATCAACTATAATAATAATAAAAAAATACAATCACTTAAATTTCTCTATAAACTCGAGGAGCAAAAATATTAGCAAAAATATTTTCCTTTCGATTAAATCTATCTCACTATGAAAATTTGGAATCTACAAAATCTATGAATTTCTACAAAATATAATATTGCATGAGATTGACAACTTAAATATTGAAATTATTTGTGATTGTAGTATCTAAAATCAATATTTTAAAAAAAAATCCAATACTATATTCCTCATAATTTACTGCTTTGCTTGTTATAGAATTCGTCAAAAGAATAAGAAAAATCATTGTTTTTTTCTTTTCTTTTCCTTTTAATTTCTTTCTCAAAAAAAAAAAAACTATGCATAAAATAAAATAAATGCATGTCTTGACTAACTAGAGAAAAGAATCAAGAAATAAACTTTTTTTTAGTCTAAAGATAGTCTTTTTTATATTCAATTTATTCATGGGTGATGTTAAGGTCACTTATATGATTGAATTATAGTATACACCCAACAAATCTTTTCTTTCAACCACGAGAGAAAAATCTTAACTCATTATCGAGAGTTCATATAAGTCATATAGACATAAAAACTATTCTTCTCTTGTGTTATTAATTTTATCGATATATTGACAAAATCTTTGTTTAAAAAAATTAATTTCATACAAACTATTCTTCTCTTGTGTTATTAATTTTATTGATGTATTGACAAGATCTTTGTTTTAAAAAAATTAATTTCAACATCATTGGTTATTTTTCTTTTGTCTCGTGAAGCTAATGACATCACCAATAATTAAATTTTGATTATTGACTCTTATCATATGTTAGAATGTTATGTGAGCTATTTATCTCCTTTCATCCATCAACAAGACATTACTAAAGCAAAAATGCTCGGTAAAAAAAAAAGATACTCGATCAATAAACAACTCATCTAAAACTCGTACATTCTAAAGTGGAGGGTCTTGCTCTCCTAACTTAGTACTTTTTATGTTTGTATCATCGTCATCGTTGTTGATTGTTACCTAAATATCAATTCCATGTTCTTCATTCGATACTTTTCTATATATGCAATCTTTTTCACAAGAGCAATACAAGACTTGTTTGCCAATCTTTTTTCATTTAGCTAAACTTATCACCTATACCACAACTTTAGAGAAGTTCTAATTCTACTATACTCTTCTCAAGTCTAATCAACTCGCACCCTTGTCATGTATGATTTATCTTAAAAACTACCTCTTAGTGATAACTATTGATTCCTTTGTAAGTTTTCGCATTCCACCGCCTAAATGACCTTAGCGTTCGACAATATTTAAGTTATTAGTATAATTAGATTTAAACGTAAATCGATTCATGCAACACATCTTTAAAAATTAATGCACAACCCGTACATGTTTTTATGTACATATCACCAATTCCTACAATCTTAATATAACTATTATCGCTCATTTTTACTCTATCAAAGTCTCTTACTTCATACACAATAAAGATTTTTTTCTAAGAAGCAAGCAACAACTCATTCAACAAAAGGATATGTGAAATTACACTCGTCCTCTCTATATGAAAACACCATCACATCACAATTTGAAGTTAATGATATAGTGTTATTCTCACTGTCTTCAACTTGATTCTTCAAGCATTCTTGTGTTTTCTTCCATGCATGACAATTTTTCTTGATTTGATTTTTTTTATTCCATAATGATAACATTCGAAACTACCACTAGACTATTATCTATCGCTAAATTTTCTACTCCTCGCTCATTTTGTTCTCCATGACAAAAGCATGTGCATTGTCTATTATCATTTTGTTTCATCTTATTTCTTTGTTAAACAAGCTATTTTTCATTATGGATAATAATAAAATAGTATTCAAAGCAAAATTACCAAAATCTTTTAGTTGACAAAATCCTAAAAAACAATAGTATCCGTAACACATAATCTAGCATCGTTATCACTTTGTTTCTTTGATAAACAAGCTATCTTTCACCATGGATAACGACAAAACAACATTCAAAGCAAAATTACCAAGTGCTACAACCAAAATCTTCTAGTTATCCGACAAAATCCTCAAAAATAGTAGTATTTGTAACTCATCATCCAACACTATTTTAATGGTTATGATATTAATTAATCAAATCTTAAAAGTCATTAAAGTGTTCAACAATAAACCTTTCATCTTCGTATTTTAAATTCATAAGCTTTGTAATTAAAAAGTTTTATTTAATGGAGTCTTCGTTTCATACACACTTTCTAATTTGTTTTGTAGTTCCCGGGCATAAATCTCGTTAGACACAAAAGTAAAACACACTCGTCATTCATGCATTGCATAATAGCTCCAATAACTTTTTTTATGCTTGCTTCCCAAACATCATTAGCCTCAGCAGTTGATCTAGCTTAATTTTATTCAATTAGACCAAACAAATCATGGTAATAAATCCTTCATTCTCGAATTCCGGATCGAATAATTTGACGTTATTAGTTTGATCATGATTCCTAAATTATTTTTCTCCATCTAAATTACATAGATATTTTAACCAAAGCTCTCATACTATTATTGAAAATTTAATCTCACTCCGTATAAATTAGATTTTTGAGAAAATTATCAAGTTAAACACACACAACAATCAATAACATAAAATAAATCAATAACAAAAGTACGTCAACAAAAAAACATTAAATTTACGTGGAAAAAGAAAAAATCATACGACTAACTTTGAAATAATCTACTACAATCAAGAAAACAATAAAATTATTTAAGTTTTTTTCATGAACTCGAGAAGTAAAAATATTGACAAGTGATACATATTATTTATTTATATAAATCCATCTCACTATGAAAATTTGAAATTTGCAAAATTTTCATATTTCTACAAAACTCAATACTATGTGAATTCAACACTTTGAACACTATAATTCTTTTTTATTGTAGAACAAAAAAATCAATATTATAGAAAATTTTAATATTTCATGCAGCACAAATCTCAAGTTACTTCATTCATCAAAAGAATAAGAAAAAAACTTATTTTTTTTTCCTTTCTCCTAAATTGCTTTTTTTATTTTATAACAGTGCAAAAAAAAAAAAAAAAACTCTTTTTTATATGCATGTATCGACTAAAAAAAAAAGAAATCATTTCTTATCCTAACTTCACAATAATCCTTTTTTTTTATATAATTTCTTAATGAATTATATTAAAATTACAGATGGACTGAATCTGAAATATATATCCAATAAATTTTAACCTTTTTTTAACGATAATAAGCTTTTTCAAGCTAGTTTGTATGAATGATCATGAGATAACTTCTGAATTGACCATGCATTCATAAGATAAGTTTTTTTGAATGATGACTTTAAGGTTATAACTTTAAAAGATATAGAAAGAACAAAATTTTATTTTTGGCTACAGGGACAAGATAACAATCCTTTGGGGTTATTCTCGTCTTTGCGTGATGATGCTTAGAGGAGGAAGGAAGGGGGGGGGGAAAAAAGGTCTGAGAGCTGAGTTTGACCACTTAAAAGGCCCAAAACGGATCCTTCTCCTCCTAAAACCCTCTCTTCCCTCTTCTGTTTTCTTGAGCTCTTTCTTCACGTGTTGCAGTTAAAGATGATGAGAAGATCACTGTATTCACATCCAACAAACTGTTTTATCTCTCCAAATTTCCTTCTTCACTTCAAGCTATTCTCTTCAGTTTCCGATGTAGAAGCTCAGTTGAGAAGTCTTTGTGCCAAACCCGATAAGTTTCATCTAAATGAAGCAGTTTCTCTGCTTCACAAAGCAGTCAATTCAAGCCTATTGCCTTCTCAGTCAGCTTGCAACTATCTCTTGGAATCCCTGGTAAAGTCAAAAAACTATGAACTGGCTTTTTCTGTTTATAGTAAAATGACCCATGTGGGGGTTTTGCCAAGTTTTATATCATTGAGTGGTTTAATTGATAGTTTTGTGATTGCCAAGAAGCCCCAGATGGCTTTAGGGGTCTTGGGGTTGATGTTTAAGCGTGGTTTTATTTTTGGAGTGTATAATATTAATGTGATATTGAAGGGTTTGTGTAGAAATAGTGAGGTTTACGAAGCATTGGATTTATTTAATAGAATGAAAAAGATTAATATTTTGCCTGATATTGTTAGTTATAATACGATTGTAAATGGACTTTGTAAAGAGAAGAGATTGGAAAAGGCAGTCGATTTGTTAGTTGAAATGGAGGGGTCAAATTGTGAACCAAATTCGTTTACTTATTGTAGTTTGATGGACGGTCTTTGTAAGGATGGTAGAGTAGAAGAGGCAATGAATTTGTTGGAGGAGATGAAGAGAAAGGGATTGGAGGTGGATGTCGTTGTTTATGTTACGCTTATAAGTGGTCTCTGTAGCAAAGGATGTTTACATAGAGGGAAAGCATTGTTTGATGAGATGTTCGAAAAGGGTATTTCTCCAAATGTAGTTGCTTATAGTTGTTTGATAAATGGTTTTTGTAAGAAGGGGCTATGGAGAGAAGCCACTGCTGTGTTACAGACTATGACCGAAAGGGGGATTCAGCCTGATGTTCATACTTATACGTGTATGATTGATGGGCTTTGTAAAGATGGGAGGGCTAGGAAGGCTTTGGATTTGTTTGATTTAATGATAGAGAAAGGTGAAGAGCCTAGTACTGTGACATATAATGTTCTAATCAATGGACTATGCAAGGAAGACAGCATTGGAGATGCTTTTAAAATATTTGAAACAATGTTGGAGAAGGGAAAGAGACCGGACGTGTTTTCTTACAATACTCTAATAATGGGACTTTGCAATAAGCGCAAGGTTGATGAGGCAATGAAACTTTTTTGTTCATTGTTGGAGGATGGGAATTATGTTGAGCCAGATGCAATCACATTCAACACTGTGATTCAAGGGCTGTGCAAGGAAGGGCGTCTTGATGAGGCTGTGGAGATTTATGATACAATGATTCAGAGGGGGAGCTCTGGTAATTTGCTTACTTGTCAAATTTTAATTGGAGAATATCTAAAAGCAGGAATTGTGGACAAGGCCATTGAACTTTGGAAACGTGTACACGAATTGGGGTTTGTTCCGAGTTCAACCACTTACAGTGTCATGATTGATGGATTTTGTAAAACGCACATGCTTAATTTTGCGAAAGGACTATTTAGTAGAATGAAAATTTCTGGGCTTAGCCCTACATTGTTTGATTACAATACTTTGATGGCATCCTTGTGCAAGGAGAGTAGCTTGGACCAAGCAAGAAGATTGTTTCAAGAAATGAGAAATTCAAACTGTGAACCTGATATCATTTCTTTCAATATAATGATTGACGGGACTCTGAAAGCAGGGGATATTCAATCTGCCAAAGAATTACTGAAGGACATGTATCATATGGGTTTGACCCCAGACACTTATACTTATTCCTCATTAATAAGCCGGCTGTCAAAACTTGGACAAATGGAAGAGGCAAAAGGTGCTTTTGACAACATGATTGCCTCTGGCATTACACCAGACAATCATATATATGATTCCTTAATTAAAGGCTTTGGTTCGAATGATGAGACAGAAGAAGTCATAAAGCTCCTTGGTCAAATGGCAGAAATGGGTGCCGTCCTTGACTTAGAAATAACCAATACCATCTTGGCGTTTCTCTGTAATAGCTCGGAGCATCTTGATGTAGTGGAGCTTTTGCCTAATTTTTCCTCAGAAGAGTCAGGACGGACAAGCATCTCTTGTGATGAGTTATTGAAGAAAATACAAAAGTCTAACCCAAAACTCCAAATATGTGCTGCTTGATATTTTTTCCATCTTCAGGTAACCGCTGTTGCTACAATACAATCCCATGTTGCTTTGTATGTAAATCTAATATTGTCGTGTTTTGAATTCTTTTGTTGTGTGCTTCTTCTGCTTTTGTTATGAAAAAGATATTTTACCTCTTCCATGAGGATGCTACAAGTACACACTTCATAGTTAAGCACCTAGGAGTGTTTTTCCGTTTTTTGTTCTTTTTGTTTGGCAAGGATGAAACCTTGAGGTCTCACAGAAACTCAGGTTTCTTAACTTCATTAATATGTTTGTCCTGGTAACATTCTAGTTTATAGATGCATTATTTTATATTTTCATTTTCCTTATATTTAGCATATTTGGTATGCTTTATGTCTTATGATGATGATCAATACTCATGTTTATGTATAAGACATAAATTAGGAACTATTAATAAGTTTGCTTAAAGTTAGGAAATTTCAGCATTTTGTGACATAGATATTCTGACCTTCTTGCAGGTTTTCAGTAGACTTAAAGTTGGATTTGGAAGACTTGGTCTTCAGTGAAGTTTTAAGAGACATCTCAAGCTTTCTAGAATGTTATTGTGTGTCAAAATCAGAGTTTGTTTGGGCCTCCAAACATTGTTTCAGAGTCTGGTTTGGAAAGCTCATCCGAATCCTAGTTTGAGTAAGAATTCTGTCCGAGCACTGAGTACTAGAATGGGCATAACTTGAGATTCAGACTTTGAAACCAGGTGATTAAAAAACCCAAATTCATCTACACATCCAGGGATACAACTTTTATCAAGAGCCCAAAGCCTCATTCTGCTTTTTACCAGGTCAAAACCGAGCTGAAAGCTGAGACTGCAAATCTGTCCAGGTTTTTTTTCTCCTAATCGGTTTAGGAGTCTTTGTTATTTTGGAAAGTCTTCAATTGTGGAGCAAAATTTAGGAGTTTTCTAACTGATATCAGGTTCCTGGAAGGCTATGTAAATATTCTCAGGGTCTGCTATGAGATATATATCACGTTAGACAGAAATTCTTATTTTATTTTGTATTTTCTCTCTCCAACGTGAGTGGCTAGTTTTTTCTTTCGGTTCAAGAGAGTTTAACTTTAGTTTGTGCTAGATTGTGAGATCTGGTTTGTCATCTTAAATACTACCTTTTTTTTCTCTCTAGGATTTATTGCTTTTTTATTTTACTTGTTTATGATTGCATATATTAATTGGTTAAGATGTATATTAATTGATAGTTTATTTGATTGAATGCTAAATTGAGTTCATAATTCGTAACTTTTATGAAACTTGATTAGAGTAGTATTTAGGTAACATGATTATGATTCAAATTTTCATTGTTTGTTTAAAGGAAACGTAAAATGAATTAAACAAGTTACGTTGGGTAATTTTGTTGTTCATCTTTAGTTTCTTTCTAGAACGTAATGCTATTATTAATTTGAAGAGAGTTGCTTAATACCAAATCAGTTATTAATAAGGATTTAGTCTGGGTGTTGGACTTGAATTAGTAAACATAAAGAAGATTAGGGTTTACTTGGCTTGCGAGTAAATCTCGATTGGGTATTCGATGAAAGAATGATTATTTTAGCAACTGAAGGTACGCATTTCTTTTGAATTGAAGTTTTTATTGATTGTGATTTCATTATATTTAAATTATGTTTAACTTATAACTAGTTAGCTTTTCGTGCAACGTAACATAATAAATCAAGTTAAATATATTTATTTCAGTATAATAACCTATGTTATGTTGACAGTGTATTAAAATATATTAAATTAAAGCTAAAAGAAAAAATTTCTTAATTTGTAATAAAATTTGGTGTTTCATTCATTCTTTTTTATGTTTTTTCATAGATTTTATTGTTAAAAAAAGCACGATTTGTTTTTCATTATGAGTTTATTCTTAAATAAAAATCTGTAATAATCTAAATAAAAATTTTTAAAAAACACAATTTTTTTTTTTATATAAGATTGCATTGAAGAAATAAAACAACAATCAATATAAAAACTTTTATAAAACTTAACTAACGAATATTTTTTTTTAACTTTTTGAAAATATATACATTTGATTTATACATATTTATTTACAAAAAATCAATAATATTAGTATAAAAAGATATATTTGATTATTATGGATTTCTTCTAAAATATTGTTTTAATTAATTTTTCTAAAATAAATTAATTTTAGAATGTTAAAAACAATTAACAACAAATGATTGACGTTATGTGTATAGATGTAAAATTAATTTTTAATAAAATCAATTATTTTGATTTTTTTATTCGTCATGACTATACTTAGTGAGCCAAACTGTACAATATAAATTGAAAAATATTTTAAAAAAATTTAAGTTGCAAAAAAATATTAAAGTTAATAAAGTGCAACAAAAAAAGAAATTTATTTCAAAAAGTTTTGAGTACCTCAAGAATAAGCAAAAGAAATAGGTGAATTCCGTTATTTAATTAATTATTTCTTAAAAAAATATCCAAAAATCCATACATAGAGGAAAAATAAATCATATTTATTAACAAATTAAATTACATAAAAAAATTAATTTGATAAGAATTTTTATAAGAAACGACAAATTGAATAAATTATTTTTAAACAACAACAACAACAACAACAACAATAATATAATCTGATATATATTTTTATTTTAAAATTTTAAAACACGAAAAGCCAAAAACATCTTTTAAAAATGAGAGACCAAGAATATATTTTGATAAAAAAGGGATCAAGATGAAAAGAAAAAGGTAAAAATATTACTTTTGAAAAAATAGAGGGAGCAAAATAGAATAAAATATAAAATTTGCAAATGAATGACCTAAAACTATTTAAAAACTACGAAACTACCACCAATAAATAGTGATATGAGGTGAATGAATTATCCTAGATCTTTTATATTTTCTTATAACTGTTAGTAAGTTTAAAGAATTTAGTTTTTAAAATCGATTAAATATCGGTTATCGATCGACGCCGATAAAGTAAAAAAAATAATGAATTTAATCTCGATTGATGTGAAATTGATTTAAAAATACTACATTACTTATAAATATATATATATAAACAAATTCATTTTTAAAATTTTATTTCCAAAAAAATTGGATTTTTTTATATACTTTTTAAATTATCCTTTAACACATTACATCATCAATTTCTTATCCACATTATAAAATTCAACCTTAAGAATACTTGCTAAATGTAGAAAAAACAAATTATTTTTTGCTAAAAAAAATGTAACGGTATTCTTCCTTCATTTTCTATTAATTTATGAAAAATATTAATAGTTTAACTTTTTGGGGAGAATTTAACGTTTTATATTAAAAAAAAAAAACAGAAATATTTAAGTGGTGGATCCAATTGTGGAATGCTAAAATGGGGACCCAACTGAAAACATTTCTACTTTTGAGAACTACATTGAAAATAATTTCATAGTTTGGGGATGAAAACGAGGTTTGCTCGACTTCAAATCATTCATGAAATCACTGTCAAACCGTCGGTGGCTCAACAATATACTGAATATAGCAAGTACTTCGCGTGAAAACTTGTTCGGTTTAGCATAAAGAGTCTCTGGTTTCTTGCGAACACTTGTGTTCGGGTTCGTATGTGGCGTTTAGCTTCAAAGGTTCTAGGAAAAACCTCACTGTCCAAAAAACCTTATTCTTTCATTCACTTCATTACACTCAAATCCCAAAACCAAAACGAAAAACAGCAATTTTTGGTATTCTTTCGTTCCATTTATGATAACTCGGCTTCAAGGCCTAGCTTATCGATATGGAGGCGAAAGAAAGAGATGGGCAAAGAAGGGTTAATTGCGGCCAAAGAGCTAAAGAGACTCCAATCGAATCCGGTTCGGCTCGACCGGTTTATTAAATCTAATGTTTCTCGCTTGCTTAGGTCTGATCTCGTTGCTGTTCTCGCGGAGTTACAAAGGCAAGACCAGGTCTTTCTCTGCATGAAGGTTTGGCCCTGTTAATTGTTTGCTTAATTACTTATTTTTGAAGATTGATTAGAAATCAGTAAGTAAAGCCCATGTAATTAAATTTCTAATGTTCTTTGATTATCTTCTTTCTTAAATTATTTATTTGGAATTACTTTATTTATTTATGTATTTATAATGAAAAGATGTAAAACCCACATATGAAAGGAACCTAATAGTAAAATCTAAATTGGTTTTGTTGCATATAAAGAAAGTTTGTCTTTTGCTTTTGATTTTGATCCTCTTCATGACTGTAGAAGTTTGGAGTTCTATGTGTTTGTAACTTATAGGAAGTTGAAAGTTGCTTGCTGTCAAAAGCTACATTTGGATTCTTGGTGGGCAAGTGGTGTTAAGAGATTGTTTTTGTTTTGTCAATGGGTGAGACGAAAGGGAAGGTGCTTTCATGTTTTGGTACATTTTGAAGAGGAAAGTAGTTTTTAAATTGTTTTTTAAAAACAATCTGGTTCTATTCTTTTGGGTTGTATGGATGGTTGCTTTTAGCAAACAGCATTTGTTGCGTTTTTGGGAAGTTGAGGTTGGGTTGAGTTCTAAGAGACAACATGGATGAAGCTTGTTCATTTTCTGTTAGTAGATAAATGTCTAGTAGTCCATCTGAGCATCTAGTGGGTGCTTGTAGCTGATGTGGCTAGTTAATGAAGGTTATAGCTGAGTTTTGTACTATGTATGGGTGGTAGTTGTATAATCATAGTAAAAAATTGTGGCCTGTAATTTATGCTCAGGCTGCCTGGGGTTTGGATCGGTTATTGTGTCCTGTTTACAAGCCAAGTGTTTAAACTTTGAACTCTTTTCTTTTTGCCTGTGGGCAACCGGAGGAGGCTTCACTTTGGCATTCTGTTTTGGTGGATGGCTTTATCCTTTTATCGCTTTGGTTTGGTCTTTAGGAGCAGTACAGGTTCTGAGAAAAGATGCTTCTGTTAAAACGTGTTTGCTTAGCTTCTAGATCAGGCTTGAATCTGCTGTTTTAGGCATGTAGTGCTGTGATGCTGCCTCTTTTCTGATTAATAATTTATTTGCACTGCTAAAAAAGTTCCCCATTTGGAGTTTTGGTTTGAATTAGTCGATTATCCACCCTATGAATAGAATACAGGACAGTGGATTGAGATGCAAGCCATAGGTATTTGCAATTATTGCATACACAACTAACAGTTGGATGCCAGTGGATGTGATCTAAGATTTAGGGCATTAGTGTCTTCAAGTAAATGTGCTGATGTAATTAATGGCAGTTTTCTTCTAGTTTTAACTTTCTTCATGACCATTGATTGCAGTTGCAAACTGTTACTACTAAAAAAATAAAGGATGCCAACAATTATTCAAACATGTGGTGTACTTTGTGAAACCGACAAGATGCTCTGTGCAATCATTGCTAGAAATAGAGGACATTTTTATATATGATTTTCACAATAATTTGAGGATAAATTGATGGATGTGAGAAATTCTTTACTTTAAATGAGTTTAATATTATGTGGATTGCCAAGTCTGTTGCTGTGAAACTAGTAAAAAGAGGGAAAAAGAGTCACGCACATGCAAGCATTTGACTCTCCCAGCGTATTGATAATACTGTGAACCACCTTTTCCTTGTGTATGTTTGCACAATCATACTGGAGAACTTGATACGCTTCATTGAATGTTCTATTATTCATGTGTGAGTTATGAGTGGATGGTCAGAAGCCAAAATTTTGTATGGAAAAATTTTTGCTTTTTCTCTGCTGATTATATTATAGTCCTTTACTATTTCAAGGGGTCAAATTTTCACACTGCTGTTTTAATTTGCATTGATACTTATTTCATATATCTTTTATGCACATGTAATTTTATTCATTTAGTATCTCTGTGCAATCTTCAGTTGTATGATGTTGTGCGGAGAGAAATATGGTATCGGCCAGACATGTTCTTCTTCAGGGACATGCTTATGATGCTTGCAAGAAACAAGAAAGTAGATGAAGCAAAACAGGTTTGGCAAGATTTGAGAAGAGAGGAAGTTTTGTTTGATCAGCATACCTTTGGGGACATAATGAGGGCCTTCTTGGATAATGGATTGCCCTCAGAGGCAATGGAAATATATGAGGAAATGAGACAATCTCCTGATCCACCAATATCTTTGCCTTTTCGTGTGATCTTGAAAGGGCTCATTCCATTCCCAGAATTAAGAGAGCAGGTAAAAGATGACTTCCTGGAGCTTTTCCCTGACATGATTGTGTATGACCCAGCTGAAGACTTGTTTGAAGATCAGGAAAGGGAAAAGGATAGTGAAGATGAATAGGGAGGCGCAATCCGGTTCTATGATCCACTGCTACTTCACAAGGATCGATGCCTTTTCCTCAGAGAAACTTAACCGTTTGCAAGAGCTAGAAGAAATTGACGCCTATACAGCAAGATGGAGAGTAGTTGGTGAATTACTTGTGGCAAATAGCTCCATGATGTTCAGGAACTCAATTAAGGGTGTCTAAAGTTTTGAATTGTCTTTCTTCATGCTCTTTAAACCTAAAGCATCATTAGGTGCCTGTAATACAGTTTCTTAACTAACGAAGCAGCGCGGCAGGATAAAAAAAGACTTAAAAAGGTCTAACCATCCCTGAATTTTAAGCCATTTGAAATGGAGTTTCTGAACTCTTAATTTTTTTTTTTTTTTTAGATTTAGTCCATCTAATGATTTTCAGCTATCATTTTTTCCTCTAAAAAAAAAAATTAATTCTTGGTATTTTAAGTTAAAATTTTACACACAAATTGAAAAAAAAATCAATTTATTTTGTAGAAAAATTTTAGAATTTTTCAAAATAAAAAATTATATTTGTTTATTTTCTAAATATTAAAATTATAAAAAATCAGAAATTTTTTTTGAAGAGTTCTATGTAAATTTTGTTTTTGAGAAAAATGGTAGAAAACTAAGATATGAGCTAAAATTAAAAATTTAAGAAGAGAAGTTCGACTTTGTCAATTCTGCTTTTCCAGGATCATTTTGTTCTCATTCCAAGTTTCTTTCAGGGCTCTTGATCGCGTGGTGATAAGTAATTGTCGTCAATTTTCTTTCACCCCACTGACTTGTCCTTTAAGCTAATAGCCTAATTTGATCCCTTTTTTTGGGATACATCCACCCACAGGTTGCCATTTGTAGAGTGATCCCCAAGGTGTTTGTTGAGCACCTAGCTACCCCAACAGAATAGTTCAATTAATGGGTAGGCAAATGCAGCAATTAATATTATACCACACTTTACTTCTTTGGTCTTTTCCACTGTTTCAAATACTCCATTGATCGGTTTTGTCCATACTCATATCAACGTAAACTCTTTTAAAGTTCATTTCAGAGAAAGACAAACAAGACGATCGAAGATCAACCAAAACATTGAATCTCAGGACCATTACAATCATTTTATCGATGCCATTCACCACTTTGGAAAAATTGTTGGGTAAATTTGGTACACGCAGAAGAGAATCTAACACGGGACAGCATGATTAAGAAGAAAGTTTTAAAAAGAACATTTCTTGTTTTAGAAATTAGTTAACAATGCTGATTGTACATGACATGCATACGATCTGAAACAACAAAATAATAATATTCATTAGGAATCCGATGTTTATATGATTGATTTTCAATGAATTTCTACACCATAACTATATTTATAATCCCACTAGGAGTTTACCATTAAAGGACACTAATTCAATTTAGTTTAATCAAGAACGGCTAGAATCAGGTACAACTCAACTGCACAAACTCGGCCGACATGTCAACAAATAACTACACCACAACTTCTCTTATTCAAAGCAACTCAATAAAATCCGAACACGTGCCGAATCGTATTGGAATTGACATCCTCTTAGCCGTCACATATAAAAAAAAAATTTCCGCTTCCAATAGAAAAGTCTCTCGTGTCAGCGATATATAAACAACCAACCTTTCTCGTTTCCCTCTCTGTCTCTCTCACTCCGTCTGTATTGCTGTTTCCGCTGACTCAAAATTTTCTCTCCTGTCTCTAATCTCCTGACTTACAAAATATTTATCTAAAATAATCATATTATTGTTATTTTAATGACGTCATGTTACCGGCGGTTAACAACGGGGCCCACGCCAACAAATGGACCGGTACAATCACGGCAACGAAGTACGGCAGAGATTCTCTCTCTGCCTCTAAAACGAATTTCCGTGAACCAACAGCCAGGGATTCACATGAGATCATCTAGACAGCGCTCCAGACTATTCATAATCGAGGCAGTGGGACCATGGGACCGATCGGACGGTGGAAATGAAGCTGAAAAGGCGGGGCCATGCGCGTGCTCGGTGGGGGATCAGACAGTGGGAGGCGCGGTGGAGAGTATAGATCGGACGGTTGAGATTAATGGAAGGAAGACAATAAGCGGGGGCAAAAGTACGAGTAAGGAGGATCGGGCGATAGAGGTGGCGGTTGCCGCGGCGATTACGGTAGTGTTCGGTGTAGGGAATCGGGTGTTGTATAAGCTGGCTTTGGTTCCTCTCAAGCATTACCCCTTCTTTCTAGCTCAGCTCGCTACATTCGGGTACTGATTTTTTCTGTTAACTGTTTATTCGATATGTTATTGGTCTGTGTGCATTTTAACATTCCCAGTACTGTTTTCACTGCTACCACGTCTTCAAAAAAACTTTATTTCGGATTAAATTTTAAACAATGCGTGCCCAAATTTCATTTTAAGAAAAAAAGTCTAAAATTGTTGATTTTTTGAAAAAAAAAAAAACAGCACAAGTCAGGCAGGTGGAATTTTTGGGAGTGAATATAAACTTTCTAGAATCTGCTGGAATGAAGATTGAAAGAAAAAAAAAAACAGAAGAAGGTGATGGAATGGATCCAAAATTAAATTGGCGGCTTTAATAATTCTGTCACAAAACACCAGTAGCGTAAGTCATAAAATTAACGTCTTACACAGGTCTAGTCGTCGTCTACTGTAGGCAGTAGACAGCAGACCCCGAGGCCAATTTGCCTGTGACTTCTGTCTATGTATGTTGTCACTTTTCCACCCATCCTTAATTTTATCAATTCCTTGGATAGATACCCCAAAATTATTTTGCGTCTCCACTTTGTTCCAAATAAAAAAAGAAAACCCATGCACGATTTCCTTCCTCCAAAATTTCAACAATTCTAAGCAAAGCTTAAACTTATATATATATATATATATATATATGAAATAGCGCTTTTGATATGTTTAAATAATTATGTTAAAAATTTCTATATTGAAGTTATCATTTCATTTCATTTATATGAGACTTTCATTTTTATTTTTATTTTTTGGAATTTTTGTGCAAAATTTTATTGGAAAATTAGATAAAAATATAAATATCATATCTGTGTGTGAGAGACAGAGTCATTTTATTGAAAAATTAAATAAAAAATATAGATATGATATGCTATAGTATTTGCTTTATTAAAAAATGTCTTTTTTAATGATTTTTTCAATTTTTATTTTTTTCCTTTTTTATATTTTGGATTATATTGAGATATTTGATAAACTTTGAATATGGAATTAAAATTTATACATGGTAAAATAAAAGTAAAAAATACAATATCTAATTGAAATAAATAAAAATTTTTAGGTGAAATTAAAAAAAAAACACATAAATCTTAGTTATCAAGAAGCAAATTGAAATTAACCTTAATTCTTTTTTTTTTTAACTATTTATTTTTTATGAGTGGGCTATTAGAATTTTGGGGGGATCATTGTGAATTATCAAGGCGTATTTGTTTTGAGGGGTTTGAAAGGGAAGGGAATGAATTAGTACTTTTGGGTCAACCAATTATATTAGGAAATTTGCTATGGTAATAAATTATCTGGATTATTTTATACATTTTTTATTGGGTTGTAGACAAAATTATTATTACACGAGAATTTTGTCATGGGTTTGCATTTTGTTGGATTTTTTATTTGATTTGAAATTGTTTGAATATTTTTTTTATATTATTTCACATATGACGTTGAAACTGAATTTTTAAGCCGTGTATACGTACATAAATAAATCTACACAGCCTTTTGAACTTGAATCACTGAGCTTAAGCTAAGCTATGCCTAGAATGGGAAGAAGCTAGAGGCTTTATTTGTTTATCTGCATTTTTTGAATGGCTGTGACAATCATGCTTTATGGGGAATTTTCTTTTGTTTTCGTGAAAGTTACAGAAAGCAAATAAAATTAAAAAGAAAAAAGAATACGAGAATTTAGGAATCTTGAATGCATTCTCAAGAGAATTGAAGAAGAAGAAGAAAAAGAAAAAATGGGTTTGTGCACATAATTGTGGCCTTGTGGGTCCGATGCCAATGAGAGCCTTACGTGAAGAGTAAAAAACGTTTGATTATCGCCACATAGGTTTCCATCACAGAAAGAAAGAAAACGATATCATCACCGGCTGTTTTTTTATTCTTCCATTAGATGCTATTATGTCAAGTGGCACTTTCACAACAATGGGTGGGCCACGTGCTCTTCATATTGTAATCCCCCTTTGTGCATTTGCTTTTGGATTGTGGTCCCAGGAGCAACTATTACATTTCGTAACATATTTGGCAAGTTGCCACAGATACCCTTCTTCGAAAGTCAGACCAATCATATTATTATGACCCTTTTCTTTTGGGTTTTTGCCAAGGATGGTCCTTGACCTTGAGCTAATGGATTTGGTTAAAAAAAATACTACTAATGGACTCAATAATTTCAGGGTCCGATTGGAACAAACAAGTGTATTCAACCAATAAAAAAACTGACGAAGTTGAAAAAAAAAAAAAAAAACCAACTATCGACCACATTCCATTAGAAAACCTCATTGATATGTACCTTGGACATTTGTAACCAAAATTATGGGTTTTCAATGTCAAATTGTGTATCATGTGTCTTTATGTTCCCTAGAATTTTATATATGCCATAGAAATCAACGATTGATCATATGAATTCTTGGTTTAATTAGATAAAATGTTTCATGAACCTTGCATTGCTGAGTGACATATAATTTACTAAGAAATGTGTGACTTTTACCAATGAAGGCTTAAATAATATATTTCAAAATGCAAAGTTTTACAATGTGATTTTCTTAATTATTTCTGAAACTCCTAATGCTAATAATGAAGCATTATTAATTATAACATACATTTTCTTTCTTTTACTCTCTTTTTGATTTTTTTAAATCTCCATTTCTTATGATTGATTCACGAAGTAAATTAAAATTCAAAAGCTTTTAGTAAAGAAATCAGGAGATTTTAGATGTAATCAATCATTGCATTGCTGCTAGGGCTGATTAAATTTTGTGCCTCCAAAAATTCGGGATGAAGTTGAATGGATCATATGTTGCTGAATACTTTTCTTTTCTTTTCTGTTTTCTTTTTTTCTTTTTCCAGATATGTTATTGTATACTTCACCATCTTGCATGTTCGACACTATGCTGGTATCGTTACAGACGAGATGCTTTCTATGCCAAAAGCTCCGTTTCTTCTTGTTGGACTCATAGAAGCTCTTGGAGCTGCAACTGGAATGGCAGCTGGAGGTATTATTGTCTTTATTTTTTTATGATTTTTCACTTTATTTGTGACACTTCAAATAAATATTTTACGGTTTCAATTTGAATTGGTCCATCAAATTTGTCCTCCACAAAAAAAAAAAAAAAAAAGGACATAAAAATATACAACAATAACAACTAAGCCGCAGTCTCAAACTAGTTGGGGTTAGCTATATAGAAGGCTATGCCATTAAGCTCGATCACTAAGCAAAATCTGCACTTACTAACATGCCATTTGGATCTATAAAATAATCGATTTCTACCCTTAATGTATTATCATTTTTGTAAAAAAAAAAAAAAAAAAAATTGCAATTTCAGTATCTAACTTTTGATTTTTTATTCAGTTTGAGTGCTTAACTTTTTATTTTTACATATTTAAGTAACTAATCCTTAGTTTTCTTTCATATTTGAATGTATTTTGTCATCTGATATTATTAACGTGGTTGATATCAATTGACATGTGCTGTTTTGTACTGACACGTATAAAAAATTAGGTTTTGTTTGAAATTAATGAAAACTGCAACTTCATTATCTAACTTTTGATTTTTATTATGTTTGAATGCCTAATTTTTTATTTTATCTGTTTGAGTGATTAACCTTTGATTAATTTTTTTCTATTTGAGTGCATTCTATCACTTGAGACTATTAAATGTTGATGTGATCGGTATTAGTTGACACACGATTTTTTTTATTAACATGTGGTAAAAAATGAAATCTGCTCAAAGTTATTAAGAATAAAAAATATATAAAAATGATTTTGTTCTCACTAAACACACATTCACTGATTATTTGAAGCCGAGTACAAAATAATACATCAATAGGTTAATGGATTATATGTTAACCCAAAGAAGTTTGGAAATGTTGGAAAATCTTGAATGAAAGAAACGATATTTTTTTTGACCTCTTTGTCACTAAACCAGATGAGTGATGAAAAGCATCTTTAGAACAAAGAACTTTTGAAAACCTACTCGAAGGTGGAGCTGATATTATATTTAAATCATTTTCAATTTTTTTCCCTGTTTCCAATTTGTCCTTTCTTTTTGTTTTTTTTCCTCTTAATTTCTACCATCTAATATATATTATTTCTTTTGTCTTTTGTCTTAATAATTTTGAACAAGATTTTTCCTATGTGTTAGTACAAAACGCTACATGTTGATATCGACCTGTTAGTATTTAACAATTACTAGTGACGGATTACGCTCAAACAGAAAAAAAAAAAAAAAAAAAAGAGGTTAATCACTCAAATAGGTAAAATAAAAGCTAGTCATTGAAGTTATAGTTTTATCTAATTTCGAATGAGTTCCACCTTTTGTCAGTAAAAACGGCTACATATTAGTTGACACAGGCCATGATAGTGTTTAGTAGTTTCAGATGAAGGAATGCAATCAAATTAAAAAAAAAAATTCAAAAGTTGATCACTTAAATAGATAAAATAAAAGCTACACGCTAAAAAGAGAATAAAAATAAAAAATTGGACTCTAAAATTGCAGTTTTCTCATTTTTGCAATTTCAGACATGTTTTGCCTAATTCTCACACTCACTTCATTTGAAGGAACTCTTCTCCATCAGCACATGCAACCTTCTTATTTGAAATAATATTAGCTTCTTGTCCATTAATGATTAAACTTCACTTTTTATATACATTCCAAAAAACCTATCTGACTCTCAACCTCAAGCTTCTATTCCTACGCGGTTGAAGTACCCTTTATGAATGCCATTTCTCATTTCACCTTTTCTGGAACATTAATAGTGGGATAATAGGTTTATAATTTTTTTCAGGTTCATGAGAGATGTTTTTTTGACTGCTAACATTATCTTCTCTTATGGCTACTAAAACAATTTGTATCCAGTTTTATGAGTTTGTTTCGTCTAAGAATTCTGTCAGAATCTCACCCATTCTATTTATTATCCTCTGCCTTGAATCAGCAATTCTTTCTGGAGCATCAATTCCAATTTTGTCTCAGGTAAGACTCCTTCAGTAGATAGCTGATTTTCTCTTGAGACTGTAAGTTAATAATTGTAGAATCCATTTTTCTTTAACCACTTTAGCTATTATTTTGTTATTCTTGAAGAAAACGCTTTGAACTAAGAAAATTTTTAGAGCTGAAGGCTGAAGTTGAAGGATAAGCATTAGAAGTGAGAAAGTAATTGATTTAATGCAAAAGGTATGCTGATATAGTGAAGCAAAATGTATACTTCATACTATAATGTGATGACCTCTCCGTTGGCAAAACCCAGAAGAACGATACTGGTGCCTAGCCTGATAACTATTTGAGCCATTTTTGTTTTTAAATGGTAGATTATCAACAATTGGATAGTTAACTTTGTCTATTACTTTTCTGCAGACTTTTCTTGTATGGCAGATTCTCTTGTCCATTATTTTTCTTGGAAGGAGATATAAAGTCAACCAGTTGCTTGGATGCTTCCTAGTTGGCATCGGTGTAATCATAACTGTAGCAAGGTAAAGTTTTATATCCAAACTGAGAGGCATGTTAATTGCAATCTCGAGTTTAGACATCTACAAATTCTTGGCTGAACTTCTCCTATGTAGTTGTTTCTTTAAAAATTATAAATTCTAAGAGACGAGGGTGTAGTTACAAATGAGAAGGATTCCAGTTTGCATCGTTCACCAGTTGTACTTCTGCAGTGGATCGAGTGCTGGTTCGTTAAAAGAAGCTGGTATATTCTGGAGTCTTTTGATGATTTTCTCTTTTTTCTTGCAAGCCGCAGATACAGTGCTCAAGGTTGGCATTCTAAACAGTTATTGCACTTAAAAGAGTTCAATGCATGTATAGCTGTTCTGTAACAGAGTTTCTTTATTTGTAGGAAGTCATTTTCTTGGATGGTGCTAAACATTTAAAGGTATGTTCCTAAATTGATAGTGCACATTGGTTCCTGAGACCTATCAGGAATGTTTCAGCAACAGAAAGAAGTTGAACTTTTATTTCATTTGGAGACACTATTGATGTTTTAGATAGAGGTTGGGGTTGATTTGGTAAATGAAATCCTCAGCAAAACCTGATTATGAAATTTCAACATGGCATCAATTTTTGCAAACCAAATTTCATTTTTAGTTCAGGCAACAGAAAATTGATTTAATTCAATTGCTATTTTAAAAGAGATGATCATTGTTATGGGTGATTAGAAGCTGCTGAAGCAAATATCTTGTGTGCATGGCAATGATGTTGGATGTGTAGCAACTTCTGCTTCTTTTAGTAGCTTTTGTTTTAGATCTTGATGTTATATTAAGACAATGCTGTTCCATCAATTACAGGGAGGTTCTGTAGATCTATTTGTAATAAACTCCTATGGATCTGCTTTCCAAGTAGGTACTCAGCAATGATTTAAAATTTGAAGTTCTTGTTATCACTTTAACAGTTGTCTTTTGATTGCAGTGCGCGTGTAAGTCTAAATTTCCTGTATTTACATATCTGCAGGCACTGTTTGTATGCCTTCTTCTACCATTTCTGTCGAAATTATGGGGTATACCATTTAGTCAGCTTCCAAACTATCTTAAAGACGGGGCAGTTTGCTTTCTGAACATCGGTAGTTTATCGAGTGGTAAGCTATGATTTATTAATACACCATCTTATTGATTAATTTTGTTTCCATACTTGTCACTGCTAATTCAGTATAATGTGTCATAAAATTGTATAAATATAACTTAATTAGATGCATTTAATCATGTTTGAGCGATTCGTGAGAGGGAATGAAGCTGTATTGTATTATTTGTACCAACAATTAGTTTCTTCATGTGCTGTTTCAATTATGACATTGTTTTAGTTGAATGCAGATAGTTTGAATGATATGAACAATTAATATTACTCTACTGCCTTAGATGTTTATGTAAATATATATATATATATATATATATATATATAGAAACCTTTTTAAAATTATGTTGCATCTCTTTTTCTGTGTGATGTATCTTAATTTTCTCTCTCTTATGTAATTGTCATTCAAGCATTTTACTTTTTATATTTCAATATTGAGGCGGATTTGGTGTACGATTGCGCAAAAGTGAAGCAAAAAGATCCGTTTAGCTGACCCCAACTAGTTTGGGACTGAGGCTCGGTTGTTGTTGTTGTATGGAAGGTGAAAATTTTAAGAATAGCAAAACATACATGCGAGGATAGAACATAAATGCAACTGTAAAGGCTCTTTAAATCTTTTTTATACATTCTATAAAAGGCATCTTCTAAAATTGATGTTAATATAGCTGATGTTGAATGGTTAAATTTAAACGTCACAGAACTTTTCTTCCTGTTAATTGGAGTGTGATATTAATCATATTATGCTACACCTCATCTCACTCTTACCTTCGTAATGTGGGAGGGCTCATCTCTACAGTATCGTAACAAGCACGAGAAATATTTTTGTGAAATATTGAAAAGAGTAAAGCATTGTAACATGAATGAAGTTTGAAATTAGGGAAAGCTTTTGTGATCTTCCTTTTTTGTAAGGATATAGTTGTAGTCTAATGCTATGATGTTGTAACATTTGATTTCTTTTTGCCCACAGGATGTGATGGTGCACCTTTGCTTCCTTTGCTGTTTGTTATTGTCAACATGGGGTTTAACATCTCGTTACTGCATCTCCTTAAGATCTCTTCTGCTGTTGTATCTTCCCTTGCTTCTACATTTTCAGGTATTTTTCTCCCTCTTTTTTTCTCCTAATCAAAGTAACTGCAAAATATAGGTTTGCAAGCCTATCAATCACCTTACCCAAAAGTTTGCAGAAAGAAAAGAAGCAAACAAGGACCACAGTTGCATTTGATTCCCATGTAGGATGTACTTCAATGAGATTATTGCTGCATTTTTTTTTTTCAGAATTTGGTAAGGGTGAGCATTTCACAAGAAAGTCCTCAGCTGGAACTACTTTAACTTATTATACATCATTTGGGCTTTATTATTATTTTTTTTTCGTGAATAACTTAACATGACCATAAATGGTAGGAGAAATTTTATAATAAATTAGGAGTAACTAATTGCATGTACAGTAATTATTCCATAGATCTACTTTGAGGAGAGAGATAGACATAAAAAAAGAGAGAGATAGAAACAGGAAAAAGAAAATAAAAAAATTTAAGCGAACGTGGAAATCTTCATATCACTTTTGGTGGGTATGGATGTAATTTCTCTCTTTTTTTGTGTCTATCTCTCTCTTCAAAGTGAATCCATGAAATAACTACTGTACATGTCACGAGTTACTTCGATGTATTATAAAATTTCTCGATACAAGAAATTGCGACCGTGCCTCAGCATTTGTTCTAGAAAAGTTACGCGATTACCAAGGGCCTGTTTCGAATTATCAACTGTTTTTTCTTTTTCGAAAACTGAAAACCGTTTCATATCTCAGTTTGAACCACTGATTATTCTATTGAGAAGTATAAACATTAATTTTTATTGTTCAGAGAAACACTCTTAATTCGTTCATTTTGGCATCTTGGGAAGAAGCACTTGCTAAGGGCCTGCTTGGTATTATCAACTGTTTTTGCATTTTCGAAAACCAAAAACTGTTTCATATCCCAGTGTGAATCACTGATTCATTCTATCAAGGAAAATAAACATCAATTTTTATTATTCATAGAAACACTCTTAATTCGTTCATTTTGGGATCTTGGGAACAAGCACCATAACGATCCATTTTAACCATTGCCATCAAACATCACTTTGATCCAAATGCTATGATCCAAATGCATTGCTTCATTTAAGTGCCATTTCAGCTGCATAATGTACTCCTCAAAAGTGCCTTTGATCTTTATGACACTTTTCAGCACGTTATTTAAGGAAGTAAATGGAGAGGTTGCTTTGAGTAACTTTGCATAATGACTCTTCTATCCTACCTGTCATTACATTGTACAGAACAAATACAATGAAGACAACTTCCATGTAGCTTTCTGCAACTCCGTGAAAGTTATTACCAGAGAGCATAATTGTTCAGTTCTTTCTCTTGTTCATTTGTATCATGAATTAATTCAATTGCTAATTGGTTTTCCCATGTGTTGTACATGGCAGTACCAATAGCTGTGTATGTGTTCACATTGCCACTGCCATATCTTGGTGTCGCATCCTCGCTTCCAACTGGCTTTGTCGCAGGAGCCATCGTGCTTGTTTTGGGGTTGCTCATCTATGCCTGGACGCCATCCAGGTAGAGCTTCTTTTGGTCGCCCAATTACAACACATCGTTATTTTCTTCATCATTTCCGTTTTCAACCTCTGAAAATGGTGTCAGCTGGCTTTTCAGTCATGGCTAATAATAGGAAAAAGGAAGAAGAATGTTGTTATTGCCATTGTAATTCCTTTTGTCGTCGTAATTGTCATTGTAATTTTTTGTCAATGTAAAACTGCTAATGCACATCCACCATTAAGTTTCTGAGCAGGGAAACCTAAATAACATTTGGTAGTGGAGCAGTGGCGAAGGCCGCTCAGGGAAATGGTCCACCTCATTGTTTAGATAATAATAGATTCTCCTAGTATAGCTACTATCACAATGCTTATAGGTTATTGCCCGTTGGTTTGTTTTTGTCAGTAAATTGGTTCAAATTTGAAAATCTTAACAAGGAAAAGAGAAGTCGAAGTGACAAAAAGGGCACAGTGCGAATCCACCTCCAAAAGCACGGCCTTCTTCCTCCATCTCTAGTCCAAATTTTATCGCCTACAAGCACCATTTGTATTAAACTTTACCCAGCCTTCTTTTGAGGGAATCCTATGAGTTTAATTGGTAGAAGATAATTTTGGAGTACGGATGCTGCTCTAACCCTTCAATGATCTCATTGAGATTCTGTTTGATAGCGAAAAAGACATTAAACAATCAACAATGCTTTGACTAAGCATTTAGCAGTCCTGGGGTTAAAAACCCTCGCCTTCCTCTATATCAATAAAAACCAACAACTGCAAACTAAACATTCTAATTCTCTCCATATTTTTTTCCTCAATTCCCTCGTATAGAAGTTGCCAAAGAACGGCCCCTTAGAACATTGCAAACAGACTCGGTTTCGTTTAATTCGATGGGGCTCTATTCTCCTGTGCTGACATGAATTTTAACGAGCTACTTTTCAAGAATTAAGGTTTCATTTTTTGAACCTCTGCAAACACAAACTATATCATTGATAATGGAAATCATACAGAAGTTTTGCATACAACTCAACTACAGGGTTGTGTACCCAATCATAAGGGCACAAAGACAACTTGCTCTCGCTACCCAATCCCCAACTTGGTTGCTCGATATCAGACTGGCATTTAGACGTGAGTAACGTATGAGCAATGACTTGATCTTGCAAATACACCAGCAATGTTCCAGAACTAACAGGTGCCCCGGATGGCTTGGATTACAAGGGATGAATCAGACTCAATGGTTTTAGAGGAAGCCAACCAGATGAGATTTTATTTTCCTTGTTGGCTATGGTAAGCTTCCAGGGATAGAATCATACTCCCACCATAACAAATGAGAAAATGCTTTCATAAAAAAATATCAAGGCAGCAGAGAGAAAGCAACAGACATTTCTTTAAAAAGGTGCCAATTTTAAAGATTCCCGTCTGGGTTTTAAATCTTAGAACTGAATGGTTTTCATCATTTTTTTACAAAACTATATTAGTAGCATTTTTATTTTTAATTTTTATCTGCTTGGAAAGTGATTGAAGTCAACCTTCACGTTGGTTTCCTTCTTTTAGCTGTTGCTACTTTCAGCCATCCTAATAAAATCTATCACGCACCAAGTATAGATAAAATCCATCTCTCAGTCCAGTTGAACCCACCCCCAGCTGCTTTGTCCGGTAAGAAGTCACGAAGATGTCTGGCCCATTCTGTTGCTTGAATTTTTAAGTCCGGGCCTCACATGACACTATTGTTTCTATCTTCTCTAAACTCTATGCAGATATAGCATTGGCAACAGGAAATACACAGATCAAGCATAAAAATTAATTAAGGTCACTATTTTTCGAAAACCATCTTCAATGACTGATTTTGATTTTCTACTTCTCAATTCCTTATTTGTTTATTGTTTCTCATTATTTTCACATATGGTAAACGTTGAGATTTAATTGGAAGTGGCAGAGTTATAGCAAAAATTTCAAGAACTTTTTTGTTTCTACTTGCTTGAGAGTGGGGTACACATTTGACAATTAAAATAAAAACTTGCGATACCTAGATGTTATATGAAAGAATGGGCTTATCATGTTATTATAAAAACCACTAAAAAAGTTGGGATGATTAACTATTTATGTACACTATTCATATAAACTCATATACATTATTTATTTTTACTATGTATTAGTGTTTTTGTAATTTTTTGGATTTTTTTTGTCAATTATATACGAATTTTACATTATGTTTTATTTTGATCCTTGATGTTTTCAAAAGTTGTTGGTTTTTTTTTTTTTGCTTATGTTTTTTCTTTAAGCAAATTCTTATTATTAAATTGGATGCAAAAATTATAAAAAGCTAATTGTTTTTTTTTTTCGATTTTCCACATAGATCGATAATTACGAAATATCTACGATATGTTTTTAAATTTTACAATGAACATATATATCAAATTATATTATTTTTATTATTTAAAATTTATCTCTTTAATTTGCGGTTCTTATAGAAATTCTCATTAAAATACTTTTTTTTATGTAATTTTATCTATCAATAAATATGATTTATTTTTCTCTGTGTATGGATTTTCAAACAATTTTTTTATAAAAATAAATAATCAATTAAAAACTAAAATTTACGTGTTTTATTTGCTTATTCTTTATATAATCAAAATTTATCTAAATTAATTTTCTAATTATTTTTATTACGATCTATTAACTTCAATAAATGCTTTATAATTTAAGTCTTTTAAAATATATTTTAATTTATACAACACACTCTAATACTCGAATATATATATATTAAAAATTAATTATACATCTACAAACATAACATCAACGATTTGTTGTTGTTTTTTTTAATATTCTAAAATTAATTATTTAAAATAAAATAATTAAAATAATATTATAGAATAACTACCTAATAATTAAAATATATTTTTTTATATTAACATTATTGATTATTTGTAAATATATATATATATATATATATATATATATATTTTGAAAAAAATTATTCTTCTCATCAGCTTAAAAAAAAATCATTTCTTAATTTTTATACAAGCTTTTATATTAATCATTGCTTTATTTTTTCAATGCAACTTTATGAAAAAAAATATTAATTTTTTTTAAAATTTTATGTTAAATTTTCTTTTTAGATTATTACAAGTTTCATTTAAGAATAAATGCACAATGAAGAACAAATCGTGTTTTTTTAACTATAAAATTTATGAAAAAACGTAAAAAAATAAATTAAATATAAAACTTTGATTAATTTCTTTTATCATTAATTTTATATATTTTAATTGACCAACAGTATAATATAAACAATCAATTTGCAAACTAAAATAATTATAGAAAAAAAAACTAAACCAACCGGGGTGAGACTGTTCATGCTACAGTCCACCTCTTTTTTTTTCTTTTGTTTTTCTTAAAGGCCTAGGTTGATGTACTGGTCCTTCACAATCCAATTACTATAGCATCCGTCATAGTCTCATTATTATAGTTTTTTTAATTTTTTTTCCTTAGCAGGCATCCTTTTTTTTCTTCTTTTTAACGAATTGGGCTATTGAGATTTAGTTTGTCCTTTCTTTTTTAATTTGTTAATAAATTTGTTTTTTTTTATATATATGACTTTTGAAATAAAATTTTGAAACATAATTGTTTTCTTTTTTAAGATATATTATTATAATTTATATGATTGATTATTTTTATAATTTTTATATGAAAATGACATTGTTGTTTATATAAATTCTAATGAGAGAGAAAGAGCTAAAAGTGTGTGTTTAAATAATCTGATTTCATTTTAAAAGCGATTAAAAAAATAATTTGACTTGGTATTTTTTTCAAAAAATTAATAATTAATTAAAAAAATTCACGATATATATATATATATAAATCCATTTAAATTATATGGAATAGTTGAAATGAATATATATATATATATATATATATATATACTCCGAGTTTGCTAAGTAAAATATATATACACACACACACCAACTAGGCACAACTCTGCTCTTTTTTTTTCTTCCTATAATTTATTTTATATTTTTAAAAGTTAGGCCACCAATCTTATGATAAAACAAAAAAGCAAGTTGACTAATTATTTTAATCTTGATGTGTTTTGAGATTAGAATCACCAAGAGACAAAAGGAAACCTTTAAAAGAATATACATATTGTCATAACATAACTGGATCTCCAACAAGTGTTTTACAAGTTAAACAATCATATATAATTAGTTCCTTCTCTAGAAAAGAAAACATATATATTATTGATCCCTTTAATGTCTGCGAACCAATATTAATTATATCTTTAACATTAATGTTAACATATATATCCGATTATTTTATTTTTATTTTTTAAAATGTATTTCTTCAATTATTTGTTTCTTATTAAAATTCTTATTAAATTAATTTTTTAATATAATTTTATTTGTTAATAAATTTTGTTTTTTAATACATAAATTTTAGAATGTTAATATTTTATTATATATATAGTGAGAGAAAGAGAGCTAAAAGTATGTTTTAAATAATTCGACTCAATTTTTTTAAAATAATAATGAGTTCAAAAAATTCACAAGTTTCATTTGCTTTTTTACATATATTTATTCAGAATTTATTAAAATCAATTTTCTTGTAATTTTTATTTTAATCTATTAGCTTCAATATATTTCTACAATTTAGATGGTTTTTTTTTATATTTTTCTATTTATTCCATACACTCGAATATATATATAGATATATATATATCGTTAGTTTTGTTAAAAATTAACTATATATAGATTCGATTTATATTAATCATCAAAAATAAAATTTTCTACTCATATGTTGTACAACATATGAATCGTTAACCCTATGTATATAACGATTATATAACGATTATATATCTATAGTATAACACGAATATCCAACTAGTTATATTCTATTTAGCTTGAGGCGTAAAGCAAGAAGTCGACTAATAGTTCAAAGGTCAACGCAGTAACTAGATTGCAAATTTATTATCGTCCCGTTTAAACTGGTCATATATACTTAATTCGTTATCAAGCTCAAGAAGAAATATTTCTTCCCGTAGAATTCCCCATATCGGGATGTAGAACCCGATACAAAGACCAAGGAATTCCCCACTTCAACGGTGCTTTTATTTTGGATGCGAAAAAACTATTGTTTCTCGTCATCCGGTGAAATACTAGGCTCCAGCAACTAACGAGTACTATTTTAATTGAATTTAAACCCAGGCTCAGCCGCTCAGCCTATTGACAGCTAGGCATGGAAGTTTTTAAAGCTTAATACTTCATTCAATCAATCACTTAAACCTAGTAAATTAAGTACTATATGTAATAACTTGACAAGTTGTATCATAAACAAAAATTGCAGACAGATTATCTCCAATAGCACAAAAACTAGAATAATTTACCAAATATACTACAAAAAAGAATAAGCATCTCCCATCTGCTTTTCCTAGCTGTATGCTACAGACTCATAATTTTATACAAACTAACATAATCTACGTTAAATGCAGAGTTGGACACATCTACTGCATGTCATGGCTAACACAAGTCATAAACCCTTCACTAGCCAACACAAATAAGGAATATGAGCAATACTCTTGCACGCAAATCATGACTGAATCACTTAAAGACAAAATGACAATACGTACATGGCCTGAAAGAAAATAGACTACGAGGAAGATATAAACTCCAGCTAACCTGCTCGTGCAGCTTTATGCCATCCCTTCACCATTATCTTTAATTATGAGATGAATAAAATATCAAACGACTGCCAGGTGGATGTGTTTTTGCACCGAAATGCCACTTCATGCAGTGATCACTGGCCTTTCTTACAGTTCTGGTGCTCGCTTTAGCTTCTATAACCACCCACATGCAATACAGACTAAAGTTGCTATCCAGCACAACTAGAGATCTCATCAAGAATAATATCAGCTGGGTCTCCAATCCAAGGCCGCCCTTCTCTCCATTTGAATTTAATTTGTAGCTTTCCATTAGCATCCACCCCAACTACTTGGCCCTTGCTAGCACTGGTTTCCATTCCCCATCCCCACCTGGGCTTCACCAGTCCTTCCCTAAATTTCACAGAGTCACCTACCTTAAAGGCTCTTACCTTCTCCATTTCCCATTCTTTGCAAACCCAAAGCTGATCCAAGAAGCAGAATGCCACCAAAAGCTCTCCTTCCTCCATCCGGTGCACCACTCCAATGCTATCACGAGTAACCTCTCCCCATTGGTATACTGGGGTAGGTATAGATGATTTGACTCTTATCCAATCTCCAATTTGTATTCTCTCTTCCTCCACCACGTCAACTTCTGATGGATCAAGCATCCAAGCCTTGGAGCCAGCTGGTGTAAATATTCTCAGTTTTCCATCTGCATCTATTGCTGATATAAAACCAATGCTCTCGTGTGTATGGCCTGACCAACCAAATCGTGGCTGCTTTACGTGGGGCTTCACCTTCACCTTCTGGCCTACTGCAAGTTTATCCACTGTTTCAAGCTCACATGCAGGTCCTACCCATAATTCAGTTTCGCCGCAGAACCCAACAAGGACAGTACCATCCCAACCATCCTCTTGATGCCTCGCTCCTTGTACAACTCCAATGCTTCCAGGCCCCAAGCTTTTCCACCCGGTAGCATTGTCTTTTATTTTTACCCATTCTCCTACCTCAAACATTTGCTCAATCTCAAAATCTGCAGGATCTCCTTGCCATAAATTTTGCAATCCAGAGAATGAAACTCTTATTTCTCCATCAATATTTACAGCAGTTACAACACCTCTCAAATTGTGGCATGCACCTCTCCAGCCCCACCTAGGTTCAGCCAGTCCAGTACGAAATCGAACATGGTGCCCTATTTTAATGCGTGAAACCTTCTCCACCTCTGTGCAGTGAGCAGGCAACTTTCCCTTACGGAAACAACAAACCAAATCTAGATAAAAAGAATCCTGTATACTGTGCACTACAGCTATATTGTCCTTCCTAAAACTATTCCACTCATAACTTGGTCTAGACCCCAGACATTGCTTCACCCTAACCCAGTCACCAACTGCAAGTCCTGAGAGCCTTTCAGCATCACCTGGAGCAACTTTCCATAAGCGTGCCCTGTGAGCCACCCTCACCTTCACAAATAATTTGGAGTAAAGCTTTGTTAAAACAATTCAAAAGTTCTGAAGGTCAAAATGCAGGAACAAACCAGTCATGCAAACAAGGATATAAGACAATGGTTAATCCATCTAACTTAACTCAGGGAACACAGACTACATTATAATTAATGGCCCATGCCATTGATTCAGATGCATATTCTGCACCTATGAATTTACAGACAGCAAGTTAGTAAATGCACTGTGGGAGACTCAAAACTTAAAAACATGATTAAAGCATAGGAAGTAGGAATCAAACTAGTATTTGACACATATCCGCAAGAAAACAAACAAGAATTGTCATGTAATGCAAAATATAAGCATACTCACATTGAGGGTTCCATCCATGTCAATCCTTGCAACAGTCCCAAAAGTAGCTGGACTTTCATTTGACCATCCAAAAAATGGCCGAGTGATAGATGCCATGACACGGATCTCTTGTCCCACTTTGAAAGGTGACACCTTCTCCATGTCTGTCATTGAACATAGAAAGGGCATGCTTCTAAAGCAGAAAGCAACACCCATGTCGCCATCATCCTCTAAGTTATGGACAATACCGATGCTAGTCCTGGTGACATCATCCCACCCATATTTTGGAGAGGGTACCGAAGCTTTTACTCTGACCCAGTCACCAACCTGATCACATAAGATAACAAATGCTAGGTACTCACAGCATAATCCAATCAGTAGTCAAATGAGAGTTAAAAGAAGCCACAAAATATTACCTTAAAGTCATCCACCTTTTCCATATCTGAAGGATCAGCTTTCCATGGTATGGACCGATTTTGTATTTCGATTATCAGAAGACCATTACTCTTTATGTCACATATTCTTCCAACACTATGATGTGTCTCACCATCCCAAGCATAGGTGGGTTCTGCAATAGATCGCTTCACACATACCAGCTCGCCTATCTGTAAAATACAACAAATTAAATTTGATAAAAAAAGGTAAAAACAAAAAAATTTGCATAGAATCCTCAATGAGTATCATGAAGTAGGGGAGGTAGCTGGAGTAGGAAGATAGATTAGTCTACTTGCAGTTTTAAGAAAAGGGAAAACAAAACCTAGAAATACTGTCACTACCTTGAAAGGCACAACTGGTTCAACCTCCTCTGGTTCACATATGCATGGAGCAGGTACACAACTGAATTCTATTAACAAACTACTGTCGGGTCTGATACCTTGCACAATCCCTATACTTCCAGCAGCGACAGTTCCAAAATCATGCTTTGCAGCCACGAGTGTTTTGCGAACACAAACCCAGTCACCAACCTTGAATTCTTCAAACCTTTGAAAATCTCCAGGATCAGCTTGCCACCCTCTAGAGGCACCGTGAAACCCAATACGTATAAAACCCTCATCCTCAATGCACAGAACAGTTCCCTGAGTGTCACGTGATCGTTCATGCAACGCATACCTGAAAACAGAAGAATCAACATCCTCAAGCTTTCATGACTTTTTAATGATTAAAGGATGTAAGGGATTCTTTAATGATTATCAAAATGTTGGATCAAAGCATGGGAATAATCTGAAAAATAAACTTGTACATAAGCTGTATTTCGTCAAGGTTCCATTAGCTAACCGTCGCCACAATTCTCAATGGTGAAGTAAAATAAATCAGGAATTTCCTCTTCTATTAACTATAGATGCTGCAACAAATAAGCCCCATCACTTTCCTTGTTTACTTTTTATCTAGGTTCTGTTTCTTTAGCAAGTCTAGAGGTTAAGTTTCAAAAGGTTGCGCAAGAAACAAGCACTCGAATATCTATAACTAAACAGCTGCCCTTGTAGCTTGGTGGATGGTGTAATGCACATCCCCTGACATCAAGGGTTCAAAGGCCGGTGGATGATGACAAGTTAATTGAATATCTACTACTGAAGATAATTAAGTACTCGTAACGTTTGCTACAGCAACCCTGGTCATACCTGGGCTCTATAACATCAGGTTTAAGTTGTACAAGTTGTCCCCTTTCCAAAGGTATCATTTTTACAACTTCATTTGCCAAGACATGAGCAACTCCAGTGCAAAATGATACAGTGAGGCTGCCATTCTCTGGAATACTCTGTACAAAACCAACACTGCCATGCGTTGCGCCTTGCCACCCATATGTTGGATTCTTCACACCCCTCTTAAATTTTACCCAATCCCCAATTTCAAACCTACAGTCGGAAACAACATGCTGAAGATTATCATAGCGTACATCAGGCATAATTTGGAATTGGTGAATAATTCAAAAAAAAAAAAAAAAAAATGCACTCACATTGATGGAGATAAAGAAATTCCCTTATCAGCAAGTGCTTCCAAAAGCTCTTCTGAAATCCATTCTCGGGGCAGGGCTTCCAAGAGGTCACACAATGTCTTACCACTGTTGTCCATACAACAAACAAATGATCACATTACAGACAAAAACATGCATATTCAATCAGTTAAAGTATGCAACTGAGCATTACAATTCATAAAAATGTGCAAATCCTGTATGAATTTAGATCAGAAACATTAGTTAAGAATGCAGACAGAAAACAAAATCTCTGGTTATACCTCGACAGAGAGAGAAAAATATGCAACTACATTACTCACCTGTTGTTTCTTATTTCAATGGCTGCATTCGAGCATTGCAGCATAAGGATGATGCAGTCAAGATTCTCACGTATCAACCTTGCAGCTTCAGCAGCTATATGGAAAGCGTTGTCACCATCCTCATCCTTGTTATAATTACCAAAGAAGTTGCTTTAGTACATGATAATATAAACAAATTGTAATAGTCAAAATACCAATTAATGTATCAAATTCTCATCAGAACCAAGATATAGATGATCCATGGGAATCAATAGGGTTCCTTGAGACAATATTATAAGCACAAAAATGAATAATAGACCTCATTCAAAATAACCTACATACACATATGAGAAAATTTTCCAAATCAAGGCTTGATTCATGGATAAAAATCCAAATTGTTAATCCAATACTGAAGTAAATCGTAAGAATCACAAAAAAAAAAAAAAAAAAAAAAAAAAACATATTAGTTCATACATCATTTATAAATGCAAAACAAATAAAATGCTCATACAACCAAAAATTTTCTATTAAACATTAAGCAAATATAACTCTACTTAATATCATAAAACAATTTGAATATTTGATAAAATAAATTCTAACTACATGAACAACCAAATTTCCAAATAGATGAACATTTTTGTGATCTTTTCTCCAGCAGGGTTAGTTTTTTTTTTTTTTTTAATGTTCAACTTAAAAATTTGATGCAGGAGCAAATCCTAAGTAGTAGTATTATAGTACCGTACAATATATTACTGTGGCATTTAGCAGTAGCAGCTTCATATAATTACAACTTTTCCTTTACTGGCTTATTTATGCATTATAAGTGAGCACATAGATTTATTATGCATCAATGGAGTACCATAACTGACCACAAACATATAATTATCAGTGAACACTCTACGTCTGTTATTACTTTTGACTTATAGATTGGGGGTAATGGCCCAATCTATCCTATATAATGCGGGCAGTGTCCAATATGTCTTTATATCCTAAAATATGTCAATTATGTCTCTGTATTTTAAGTAAGTTTTCAATTTATCTTTCTGGTGAATTTTTCCAGCCAAACCACTGGAAAGTCACGTGACTTGCACGTGACTATTTTTTTTTTTTTTTTCCATGAATACCTCTCGACTGAACATGTGAAACAACAGGTGAATAATGGAACTGAGGAGTCAGCGTCAACTGAGGGGCATTTTCAGGAAAAAAAATTAGTCATGTGCAAGTTATGCGACTTTTTTCCGATGATTTGGCCAGAAAAATTCACCAAAAAGACATTAGAAACTCAATTAAAATACAGGAACATAATTGGCACATTTTAGGATATAGGGATATATTGGACACTGACCCCATTATATAAAGACAGACCGGGCCGTTTTCACTATAGATTGACCTAAAAGTAGATTATCAAACATGTAAGTAGCTATCAGGCTTATTTCATAATCACAACATAACAGTACCAACAGAGTATAAAAGAAAAAGAAACATCACAAACCTGCATATTACAATCTGCCCCAGCAGCCAAGAGCAATTCGACACAATGCTTCGCACCTTTAGCCAGTGCTAAATGAAGAGGTATCGTACCATGCACATTTCGTAAGTTAGCATTCACGCCAGCACCAAGAATGATCTATTTGAAAATAAAGAGCAAACTTTTCATCATAAGTTATCTGATCTGCAGATTAGACCTTCATATCAATTTTATAAAACTAAATACTCAATATGTCCAAACTCCAAAATGAGTTTATAAATTCCTTTTCCCCTGAATTTTTAGGAAGAAGCAACAATTGCCATGTACCATTTTTTGGTTTCCTTTTCCAAAACTACTCATTATAAGTGAGAAATTGAAAATATACTTAACAAAAAAATTTTATGTTCCAACTTTTTTTACAGCAGACGTATAGCTTGCAAGAAGTACAAAATGGCGAGTCAATGTAAAAGTAATAAGTTAATTTAAAGTGGAAAACCCTATTGAATGACCTTGACCAACCCAACATCATTTGCTGCTGAAGCTGTATGCAAAGCTGTTTGATGATTTTCAGTATCTTGGGCAGCAGGGTTCGCTCCAGCAGCAAGAAGTAATCTCACCAGCTCTCTGCCCTCTACAATTTGAAACTGAATATTAGCTGATGATCAAAGAAAAAATGTACCTAGGTTTTTTGCTTCCAAGGAATGAGGATCAGGAATTCAGAGGAGCAAATCTTTTGCTATTTGTCCAAATAAATGATAGCGAGATTGAAAGAAATTTAGATATATGTTATAAATCTAGAGCTTTAAACCAAGTTTTATAGATGAAAGTGCACACTGGAAAAATACAGAACATGTGCACGTGTGTGTGTGTAGCAGACCGAAGTCTACCAAAGTAGGAATCTTAAAAGAAACAGGACACAAGATGAAACTCCTAATTTACTAACTAATAAAGCAAGTAGACAAAGTTGCTAAGTAACAGAAAAATAACTACTACATGATAATAAAATATATAGAACTAGAACAGTTGATGGAAACTCTTCTTTAATACAGCATTGCCAATTAAACAAAGATTGGAACATTACTAAGCCAACAGAAATGGCACAAGAAGTAGCTTTAAAAGCAAAAGACCATTTCCCCTAGGTTGAAGAAGATTTGCAGATATATATTTCAGAAAATGTAATATAATCATTCCACTTGATTGAAAAAGAAAATTAGCCACATGAAAACCGCATGAAAAAGACAAAAGTTCCTATAGCAAACATGAAAGAAGATATCTTCGGGTAAAACTTCACAAAATGTTCAACAGAATAGAATTTATAATGGTATTACCTGTTTCGTGATCTTTTTTTAAAGCAGCTGCCAGACATACTGCAGCTCCAACTGAACTGGGTAGGTTAATTGCTCCATCAATTTCTTCTTCTGATGCAAGTTCTAGCCACCTTTTGACAACAGCCACATTTAAAGCTTCTATGCACATATGTAGCGGTCTGTGATGGCAGAAGCGTGATGAAAAGCAGCTCAGAGTTGGAGCGGCACATCATAGCAAGAAAACAGTAGCATTTGAATAACAAATTATCATACAACACACGTTTCTACAGATACTATCTAAATGAATGCATGCACACACACTTATAAACCTCAGAAACACATTACAGGTTTCAGTAATTGAAATTAAAGGCTTCAGCTACCAAATGTCAATATTTTTCCATTCACTTAAAGTGAACTAATCACTAGGTTTATTGACCACGCATCATATAACTAGATACAGGATAAGCGGTTTACAGAAATTGAAAACTTTCTTTTTATAGAAAATTTGAACAAGTTAAAAGGATCTAGTTTCAAACCCAACAATCCTTCAAAGTGTTGATTATAGATTCTTCACCAATGGACTATTTTGTACCACTCTCACTGAAACACTAAAAATATTTGCCAAAGGCAATCGACCCTTTTTATCTCTATTTCCAGTACAAAAGCCACAACAATTTCAAGCATTTACCTCATGATCATGCAAAACCTGCTGCAACCAAATGGGTAACCCACAGTTTCATGCACCACACCCAATTAATGTCAATATATTGACCATTCTCACCCATAACCTTTTACTCCAAATGGATGAGAGATTCTCCAGTCCTCAATTTTTTATCCTCATTTGTATGTTGACAACTCTCCAAGTGCTTTGGTTAACACTTTTACAGAAACAAACAACATTTCATGACTTAAATGCTGGAAGCACTAATGCTAAATGTAACTTTGTAACTTAATTCAACCACCTCTTAGTCCCAACTTGGGCAGCTACATGAATCTCTTTTCTTATTTTCCATGTCAATCTTGAAAAACAAAAATGTATCTACAAGCGTCCCTTCAAAAATATACTCAAAAGTCAAAGGTGTTATCCATTCTCACATTTTTCACTGATTTGAATTTTTAATAACACTCAAGTTGGATGCACTAGAGGGACAGAGTACTGCAAATTTGGAAATGTCATTCATGTGTGACAGATCAACAATAACCAGGAATGACCTTTGAACTGTGGTTTTATTCAAGAGAGAGAAGAAAGAAAAAAGAAAAACAATAGTGCTTCAGCCAGATTTGAAGATCTCTATTGCACAGACACCAAGAAGGTTTGCATAAAAAATATTAAAATTCATCAACCTACTAAATATACCACCAGAATATTGCAAACATTATAGTTATCAATCGAAACTACAATATAATCCAGTCAGCAATATTAAATAGAAAAGAAAAATCCTTTATCCAGACAAATGAAATTTAGAGAACGCAATGTGCAAAAAAAAATTGAGACAAAAATGAAGGAGCAATGGCTAATCCAAACATTTTTAACTCCTATCCAAAGCAGATTGGAAAGCCAGTTAACTAAAGAACATGTAGACAGAATCAATTGGATGATTCCATCAATAGAAAAGTAAATTATGCTATGAAAATCTACCTCTATTTGATACTTAATCTCAGATAATAAACACCTTAATTTGCAACAAAAAACAAAAACTTTTCCTTTATTTTCTTTCACATCAACAAGAAAATATCAACCAAATATCATAAGCAAACTGGTATAAACTCTCACGTCAAATTTTTTGAGTTCAGAAAACCCATTGATCTGCATCCTCCATTTTCCAGTATGACAATAGCACATTCTGTATGTTTGTTGGCAAGGGCTACATGCAGTACAGATTCACCATCATCATCCACTGCATTGGCATCAGCACCGGCCAAAAGTAACTCCTGTAAAAATTGTTTGAGATGATCTAAGTGAAGGAAAGAAAGGACCAAGTCTTCCCTATAAAATCATATAGGTTTGGGAGCCTACCAACATGCAATCTGGTTGCCCATAATAAGCACAAACATGAGCAACCGACCGGCCAAAGCTTTCACTCATCCTAGAAGTTACATAATCTGATCTTCTGATAAGAGCTCGTACACATTCTGCGGATCCAGCTGCTAAAGCAAACACTATTGGTGGGTTCCCATCTTTGTCATGAATATCTACATCCACATTGCTGTACTCCAAAATGGACTCAACAAGTTTAAGGCAACCCCGTCTACAAGCCAAGTGCAATGCGGTTTGACCATCAGCATTGTGTGCTTCAAGCAGAGAAATAACTGAGTTGCCATTGTTACCCGATGCAGACTTGGCAAGAAGATCTCTGCAAAAAACAGTGACACCTCAGAAAAAAACCTAGAAGATTTCTATTAGCATGTTGGTGCAACAAAGTGAACTTCTGTTAAAAACAAACCTAACACCATCCACGTTGCCATCAGACAAAAGTTGATGCAGATGGTTGCTTTTGACCGGGAAAATGTCCAGGACGGATGTAGGAGAATGTTCCAGCACATCAATTCCAGAACAGTTTGCAAGTTCTCTGGATTTGACAGATGACAGGAAAAAAAAACGGAGATGAGTCAAATATCACATAACGTTTTCAACTCAATCTAGAAGACAAAAGATAACAGAGTTATATCATAGCCAACTGGGTAGGGAAATGGAAAATACTCAATAACGCAGGTTTCTAGCTTATTCCTGGTCAAACACTACAAGAGTAGACTATGCAAACGCCCTAGCAGTTTCATCCTTATCATTTACCACAACATCCAGCTTGATTTTCATAGCGGAGTATTTACTGTCATGACTGTGTTTGCTGTACTCACTATGGATCCATTTCCTCCACTCAACACATAGTTTGCAACTAATTCTCCCAACAGTTTGCTTCTTAATTGCACAAACTGATGCCCCTTGTACCACTGATCAGCCTCCATATTACCACTGACCATTCTCTCATTGACACAATACAAGGACAGTCAAGTGCCAACCACCACCATCTGAACCAATAACCATAAAATCAACCAAATGGTACCCATCATATTGCCGCATCATCTACCGTTCTGAAGAGTCAGTATTCCATGCATAGCCATGATTGGCTGTATCTTCAAATAAAACTAGTTATTGCCTATAATCTCTCCAGACAGCAAACCAAATCTGAATGGCTGCAAGCATCCAATAATCTACTAAAACTATATATAAAAACAAAGATAAGAATCACTTACGTATTAGGAATAGCAGGACTTTGAGGTATCCCTTGCAAATGACGGAGAAATATGCCAAGCATTGCATGAAATGTTGGTCTGTTCGATGCCTTAAATTGTAGACACTCACCAATCATCTTCCATAGTTCTGTAGGAATCCCATGACCTACAACTTTTTCATATTGTGGAGGTGATCTTCCTTCCTTAACAACAGCACGGTAGATCTCTTCTGCACTTAAACCAGCCCACCTGCATAAATTCTCCAAGTAAGACAGAAAGTCTTACCAATCAATCAAAGAAGAGAAACAAAAAGTTCTAGTTCACATACGGAGTAAAACCAGTGCACATTTCAACAAGAGCACAACCAAAACTCCAGGAATCCGATTTTGCAGATATGCCAATGTTGCCATCCCTGAATAAGTGCAGAGACTTCTTCAATGGCTCCCATGCCTCTGGAGCAGAATAATGCGGACTTAATGACAAACAATCAATACACCAATGCAATTTTAACAGATCAACCTCAGGCACAAGCAGACCCTTTGAGCAAGAAGGTTTCTTCAGAATCATCGGAAGTCCATAATCAGAAACCACCACATGACCACTTGCATCTAGAAGAAAATTGGATGGCTTTAAGTTCATGCATACAATACCTGCAGCATGAAGTTCAATTACCCCACGTGCAATATCCGCTCCATACCTACCAAAAAAAAAACATAAAGCTCTTATCAAAAACCAATTTTCTATGCCAGATGAGATCAGTAGATAATCAAATCTCCTCCCGATATGAACATATCTTAAACATCATAGTAACTTATGCTTAGTTTTCCTGTTCTTTCTTTTCATATTACCGTTTAAGTGGTAACCTCGGGCTGATTCCGCACATTAAATAAAATGCAGGCCATTCATAAAATCTTAATGCTATCCTACTAGTGATTGGCAATAAAAAAGGCAAAACATCACATTCTCTAAGCTTTAAACACAAATATCCGCGCAATAAGCCAATTAAATCAAATTAACGATAAAAACAACAATTCAACCTAAAAACACATTTAAATTTCACTTCAAAAAATTTAATAAACAAGACCTCAAAATTTGATCAAGAGAGAGGCGGCCACCGTTCCCTTCCAACTGTTCCTTAACAGAACCAAAACATTTTTCCGTCACAACACACAAATCATCCTCTCCACTCTTCACTACGCCGTAAAATCGACACACATTTCTGCACCACACAACTTTCCTCCTCAAATTCTCCAGCTCCTTCTCCACCCAATCACCATCCGCCACGTCACCAACCCTAACTCTCTTCACAACTACCTTATGCTTACACTCCTTCCCCTTCACCAACAAACCGCTCCACTTCACCTCACCAATCCCCTTCACAATCCTCAATTCATGATCTCTACACAAATTACCAGCCAATTCAACACGTGCTGTAGAGCACAGAACTTGGCGAGGATTGGCGTCGCTCTCCTCGTCGGAGGCGTCAGAATCGGAGTCGGAGGCGGAGGAGGAGGAGGAGGAGGCAAGGATGGAAGAGAGGAGGGAGAAGTTTTTAGGGAGGGAAAGGAGGGAGTTGCCGAGAGGGGACACGTGTCGGCATTTAGGACAGGTAAGAGAGGGTTTTTGTGATAGTTTAGGTGAGGAAGAGAGGAGGAGGCGAGATAAACAGTTTATGCAGAAAGAGTGACCACAGTGCAGAAGGAGAGGTGTGTGAGAGTGATCGTTGTAAACTGTTTGGCAAATTGGACATTTCGGTATCGGAATTTTTTTATTGTTTCGGTTTCTGGTTTCGGCCATGGAAGTCTGTTATTTTTGTTGTTGGTGGTTGGTTTGTTAGAGTTGTTTTAAGAGGTGAAGGGGAGGACAGACGAGAGAGGAGGAGGAGGCGGAGGCTTTGAAATGGTAGTTTTTATCAAGAGGAAGGAAAGGAAAGGAAAATATGAGAGGAGATTGACTGAGAAAGCAGGTTTGATTTTGACTTTATATACGCTTCCATAATTTAATCAGCCCACGCTGCTTTCAAAAAAACTTCAAAGTCTCGTATAAGAAATTTCATTTGTGGGGTCCTTCTTTGAAATTTTGTATGCCACTGTTGAGTTTTCTGAACTGCTTCCATTTTATTTTGTTTCTCAAAAAAATAGCAAAAGTAATCAAAATTTTCGGATGAGGATTAGATGAGAGTCGTTTCTAGGGATAAGAAATTTCTTTTGGAGATCTGAATCTGAGAGGATAATGCAGATAGCAAATCTAACCAATTAATTGGTCAATTTTTCTTTTTATTGTCATTAGGCTTTGGATTTTTTTATTAGTGTTCAATTTAATCCTTAATATTATTTACTTAAGGTTACCTCAGTTTTTATTCTTTGCTATTTGGAGACCGATAGCTTCTAGTAACATTTAGATGGATGGGACCTTACTTTATTTTTATTCCTTTTGGATAAATTTTAATTTGTTTTTAAAAGATTTAGATGTATCTATATGAAAGAAATTATACCCTAGTTTCAAACTCATCATAATTTTAGATGACTTGTAAACTAGGCATATGGTCTTGTCACTATATTGACACCAGACCGCTTTGGGTGTTAAATATATCAATCAATTCTTTTTGAACAACTAATATATATATATGTTGTTTATATCAATGTCAATGGACATTTTCTTTCAAACATACTTCGAGAAAATAAATCATTAGGGTTGATTTTCTTGCTAGAATTGATTCTTCCGAGTGATGAGCTTCTCCGGGTTTGGCATCAACCTTAAGGATTTATTTTCTCGAAGTATGTTTGAAAGAAAATGTCCATTGACATTGATATAAACAACATATATATATATATATATAATGTTATAATAATGATGAATAGGTAAGATTCTATTATCAATAATATTAACTCGTTTTTAAGATTCGGACTCCATAATCACCTTTCCGTGACTAGAATCTCAAGTAAGGATCAGTCATTGTCTAACGACCTCCAACTTAGCATAATAAAAAAGTGATCGAGATAACCTAAAAAACTAATTTTCTATGCACTATGACGAGTCATAAAAAAGACCATTCATTCCAACATGATTAAAGGAACCAAGGAATGCGCCATCAATATTAAACTCAATAGAGTCCTTTAAAAAAGCATGCCAAAAAATTCAATTCTACGAACTATTAAGTTAGTTGTTGATGGGTTATCAAAAGCCAAAACATAGTCATGTGTGAGAGAATGAATCACTTGAAGTTGACAAGCAAAGGAACTAATGGAACTCGAATAACTTCTTATTTCCAACACATCAAATAGACCAGTATGTAAGAACAAATAAGCAAGCATTGATACCATATAATGTTAGTGCAAAAACCATTACAATGAAATGAATCCCCTCATGAAACAGAAAAGAATCATTATAAGGAAGCAAAAGGATGGAGTTGAGGCCATATAACTTTAGCCCATATACAACCATGAAGAATATAAAGAATTATTTATTATACCTCACCATAATCTGCTACACATAAGAGAGATGGCCATCCCTCTATGAAATCAAAGTATATTACTAACTAGACATTGTCACTCCAATTGCTAAATAAAAAAAATTAAAAAAGGATGTTTATGTGCTAGATGAAGTTTCCAAATACTTATCCAACAAGTATTCGAGTTCCATAGAATAAGAAATTCTAGTCATAAACTTATATTTAGATTTAGCGGTATAACACTAGAATTAGTTTTCTCCCAAGCCAATCTATCATCAATTGAATACACCTAGCAAAGAGGTGTTGATATAGGATGGACGAGGAGTGCAAAGTCGAAAAAATCCAACTATCAAACTCTACGATAATGTCAACAACCAATAGGTTCCACTCTTCAATAACAATATCTAGAACATGGTAAAGCAATGGACAAGAAGATAACTATCGATCAAACCAAAGAGAAATATGTTGCCCATTATCAATTCTTCAAATATAGCCATCTTTCAAATAAGAAATCAATTTACAAACAACCTTTCAAATCGAGAGGCTAGCTAGAGAGGATAATGGTCCACGAGTAACTCACCATATAAATATTTTTTACATATTACACGAACCTATGGTTTCTTCATCTTTTGAATAGTATCTTATTCCAATTTGCTCAATATAACATTATATATATCCCCTCCATCCGAAGTCCTAAACCACCTCTATTTTTAGGAAAGGTGATAATTTCTCAACTCACCAAATGAATTTATTTTCCTCCATTATAAGATCACCATAGAAAGCTCCTAACAAGCCCATCAACCTCTTTGCAAATGACTCGAAGGTAACCATACAAATTTTAATATATAGAGAGGGATAATGGATATTATTGATTGAATAAGAGTACATCGATCTTCCTTACATAAAAGCTTTGACTTTCTAGCTTACTAGACGACCATAAATCGTATTTACGACATGTTTAAAAGAAGCCTTACTTTTTTTAATAAACAAAAAAAAAACACCTAAATAGCTTCCAAAATCCAAGATAGGTGAAAATTTTGATCTTCTCCTCAGCTTTTCCTTATGCCGATGTAAAGTGTGAAGATAGATAAAAGCACGTGTTTTTAGATCATTAACTAGCATTCTTGAACTAGCATAAAATTGATCCATAGTATCCAAAGCAACTAAAAAATGGTAATGGAAAGCATTAGAGAATAAGATCATATTATCTATAAATAAAAAATAAGAGATTATTATTCCTCAATGTGAAACATGGATATGCTTTTATAGGCTAGTCGAAACTTTACTCTCAATAAGAAAAGATAATTTTTCCATGCAAAACACAAACGAGAGAAGGAGAAATTAGATCACCTTGATGAAGTCCCTCTAAAGGTTGAAAGATTAATAACTTGGCACCATTTCATAGAATGAACAATAAATAATTAGTGATGCAAAACATGATAAGATGCTTATATTGACGAGAAAACCCAAAATCAACCAAAGTTTGTTGAAGAAATCGTTAGTCAATCCTATCATAAGCCTTGGCTAAATTGATTTTTAAAATGAACGATCCTAGTTTCTTTATAGAACGTTGAATTATATGTATGAGTTGTTAATCTAAAATTATGTTGTCGGTTTCTATAGGGCCAAAGATAAAGGCATTATGAAAGGGGCTAATTACATAATCTAGCATAAGATGAATTTTTTGGACCAAAACGTTCACGAGGATCTTGTAACTTACATTACAAAGACTCACTGGACTCAAAGTGCTTCGTGTTAATTGTCGGTGTAAGTGCTCAATATCCAACCTGATTTGATGGTTTAAAATATTATGTTATTGTATTTTTATATTAATAAAGAATTTTTTATTAATTCATGTTATTTATAACTTGATAGAATTAGATAAAAGTTCACATGATATCCGTTGCCTTGATGATTGATCAATAGATGTGAGACAAATACCAATGCACCTAAATGATATCATTAAATATTTCAAGTCATAATATTATCAAGATTGAACATTAACAATATACGAGTAAGACTTATGTGAGTTATGCTCTTGCTATAAAATAGTAGTAGAAGATCTCACACCTACCGACATGGTGATGCCAAAGCAAGCACATTAGTGAATAATATTAGAGAACATATCATTAGAAATGACTCATCATGAGAATCTATTTGGTTTAGTCTATAGAAATCATACGTGATGGGTACAAATAGTCCTTTGATTTAAAGTTATCATAGTTATCTCATTAAATGATTGGTGTACATTGATATTGATTTTGATGAGCTCGATCAAGAGCTACATATAGACGATTCGTTATTGACGTCAATAATTTAATGGAGATATGAGGATAACTAAGATAGGACATGTCATTCTTTATATACCAAAGGAGTTATCATATTACACTTCAATGAATGTTTGTTTAAGAATCTATGACTATAGTAGAAGTATACCAACGAGAGAATGATTGGTTTACTTGAGAGCTAAGATATTCTTAGATAAAAAAAAACTTATATGATCATAATCAAATAGACAACAAACCAAGTTTGAGATTATATAGTGATAAATTAATATGAAGATTGAATTATATGAAAAACATACTCATAAAAGATTATTACGAATTTAGTAATCTTTTTAGATAATTGGGTAGTTATGATACATTGCTCGAGGTCAATTTTGATTTATGTATCAAGAGATAAAAGAAGTATAAAAAAATCTTAATTTGAAAATCAATTTTCTAATTTGAAAATCAATTTCCTAATTTAGATTTTCTAAACTGATAGGGGTAACTTAGTAAATAGTTTTCTAATGTGGGTTTTTTTAAAATACCTAACCTAGCTTATTTGAATGGTTTATTTAATTACTAAGTTATTGGGCAAAGGGTTTTGGGTCAACGAAGCTTAAGTGAAAGCTCGCAATGGGTATTTTAAGTAGATGGGCATTTTTACAAAACTTCAAGTAAAAGTTCATTAAACCTAATACATGATTTATAAAGACAAGAACATGTATAAAGCCATATAACTCCTAATAGGAAAAAGTGATTGAAATTTCTAACAGAGAAAGAGAGAGAGGCACAATTTTCCTTAAAAAAGAAATTACGTCAACTTCTTATAGAAAGAACTACAACATCTTTTTGCAAAAAGATTTATTATGTGAAAACTACATAGTAGAAAGAATTAGTAGCTAACACTGTTGATCTTCTATCATTTATTATGTTGGTGTTTAAGTTACGTGGATTATCATTAGAAACCGGATGTTTGGACGGTTCAATCTGCTAACTTGATACTACATTTCAAGAGGTAACATATAATCGATCTTTGTTAATATAGTTAGTTGATTTAATGATTGATATTAGGACTTTAG